ATCTCCCCTGTGGTACTGGCTGGTAGGAATTAAGTGAATGGAGTTCAATACAGAAGGGCTTTTTTTCTGTTGGAGTTTTGTGTGAATCATATTAGCAGCTCCAGCAACAGATATTTTTATTCATGTAATTCTAACCTTAAACAGAATTATACTTTAATTTTCCAGTAATATCTATGAGAGGTATGGCCCACTGGGAAGATATTATAACCCTAATAGAAAACACTAATTGTCCGCAGCTATCTCCTGAATATGGCTGATGTAGAAAGTCTGCTCAGCTGCATCTAGGCAAAGTGAGAGTCTGCTGAGAGGCTCGTGTCTTGTTTAGTTTCAGAATAGTCTGGTGTCCAGTCAGCTGGGCATGTGGTATATCGATCTGGTTATGCATGAGCCAGGAAACCTCCCAGGCCTGTGTTCCTATGTTGACCAATTGCTGAAAAGCTTCGGATGAGCTAGGCAGGTCAGTTAAGCAGGAAAACCAAAGGTTTTGCTGGGTACACTTAAATAAAAGTCTTATATCTGATAGGACTTTAAGATACTGGATAGGACTTTAAGTACTGGAAGATAAAGTACTGGGACCAGTGCCACCTGGCTTGAAATACGAATTAAGTATATTCTGTATTGCTCCTTGAGAAGGTTGATGGACTAAATCTACAATTAATACATTTGAGACTTACAGATGTGGCATTTCTCACGGCACTTTTTAAGACTCCATAATTAGAGGGGATTTTGGTGAAAAAAAGAATATGGTGATTTGGGAATAGGTGATTGGTCATCATTTGGAATACATTGAAAGGGATTTTCATTGCATTCAAGATAAGCCCAGTACTCCTCCTCTTGCAGTCTGTGGAAGGCTCTTGCCAGTCTGATGTCCTTTAGGCAGGAGATGTGTGGGTGCTGGAGATTTCCCAGCTTCAAAATCTAAAATGTGCAACTTAACCTGAGGATTCAACTCATTATTTTCATGAATGGTTGGGGTTGTTTTGGTTTATTTCAAATGAGAAATTGACATAAAACTAAAAAAGTCCCAGATTGTTAGTTCCTGGAAGGATGACTGAGGTTTCTGTCCATGCGTCCATGAAAACCAGGCTCCGCTTTTCCCATATTGCAGTGCTTACATCAGTGGTGCCTGGGGAAGAGTCTCAGCCCCCTGACTGGGTATAGGTACTGTTGTCCCTGCCATCCCCCTCCATCGACAGAAGTGCATATAGGGCAGGAGAGAGACCTGTAGACCTGTGGAGCAGTATGCGTCTGCTCCCATGGGGAGGATCCCAAACCCCGGGGATCCCAACACATTCAACCAGAAGCCTTGAGAGATCTTTCTCCTTTTGCCTCTAATGGTATACAAGATAGTTTTCTGTGGCTATTGAACAATCATGCAGTGTGGGTCATGTTGCACATTTCAGTGACAAGAAAGGTGGAAGTGTGTCCTACAGGCCAGTGAAAATGAGTATATCCCTCAGAGAAGGATGTTTGGCTGAGCCCTCATCTGCTCATGTGGTCAGCAGCCTGCAGGATGGGGATCTGCATGCTGCAGATAAGGGAAGCACGTTTGGGGGAGCACTAAGATTGATTCAGGAAGTTGTTACTCGTTAGAAGTTACCAATGACTTGGTTACCCCCTTCTCCATCTGACCTGTCTCTAATTGCATCCCTTTGGACAGCAACATTGCGCTTCTCTCTCCCTGCTGACTGAACTTGCCCTTTGCAACCTTGTGCCTTCTGCACTGGTGGGATTTGCTATTACAGCAAATGTCCTATGTCGATGGGCTCAGCTGCCCTGAGGAAGGAGGGAGGGAAAGGAGCAAACAGGTGTGTACCCATGTACTGCCTTTTTAATGTGGCCCTCCTTGGTGTCTGATCAACAGCAAACATTGCTTGTAGACTCGGAGAGGCTGTTAGACCACAGATGTCTCCCCAGCATTGCTAATCCTTCCTTCTGACTGATTTTATTGCCCAGTGGGGTCCTAAGCCATTTGCCCTTGTTTCATCCTCTCCTTCACCAGGGATGCTATGGAATAGTGGGTGTCTCACCCTGTCTGTACTTCCAAACGTGGAGGGTCCTGACCGCCTCCTCCTCTCCAGGATCGGTGCTGCAGCTGCCAGAGCCCATCATGTGGGGCCTCTCTGGTGCTTGTTACTTTAGTGATGTTCACTTGTGATCAGTTACGCTGAAACTGCCATAGGAAGTCACAGGCTTACTTAAGCAGAAATTAGCCATAAACAGAAATTATATGAATGCCTAGGGGAAACCACTCTGCAAGCATAGCATTCAATCAGCAAGGCAAGTCCCTGACCTAAGTAGCGGTGGTGCTGTGCCCATGGGAGAACCAGCATTTCTTTAGTTCTGTTAGCAAAGGTGTCAAAGGGTTGGATTAGTCTGGACAAGCAAGGACAGTTGGGAGACCCAAATAATGGGAAAACCCAACGTTCACTCCAAGGAAAGAAAAGGGAAGGCAAAAAGGGAGGCAAGTTCCCAGAGCTCATTCCCTGTGCCAGCTGAGGCTGTGTCTCCTCTCCTTGGGCTTGCTTGCAACTCTGCATCCTGCCCCATAGTCCCTCTGTCAGCCCCTGTGGGAACCTGCCTCTGCCTGGGAAAATGGCAAAGGAGGATGCTGTGCTGTGGGGAGACCTGCAGTGGGGTTGCCATGTCCTTCAGCAGCCCTGTTCTACCTACACAGCCATGCAGCCCATGGTGCCTGCTCAGGGGCTGTCTCTGCCAGTGAAGGTGGCAGCCAGTGGTCAGGTATGTGTCACCCCTTCCCTTGCCTTCCCTCCAGGGAAGGTTACTTCTGTGTTTCACTCAGTCATCACACCAGTGCAATTCCTCATGTGGAGGCAGCTGCAGTGGGATAAAGTTGCCCCATACCTGCAGCAGGATTTGAAACCACTGAATTATTGCCTGGTGAGGCTCTCTGAAGCCTGAGTGTAACTTCTGGTACCTTCTGGGCTGAAAAACAGAAATAGCAGCCTTTCTTTTCCTGCTGGAGAATGATTTTTGCACATTGCTGGATGAAGTTTTCATTTAGGTTGACTTTCTTCTTCTTTTACCTTAATGTCACAGGTCATTTCCCATCTACAGTTCTGTAAAAATATGTGATATTCCTGCAAAACACTTCAGTGTGGATAAATCAAGTTTTTAGGTCAGCTCTGCTTACCTAAGCTTATCTCAATCCCCTTTTCATATCTGGATAACCTCTACTGCACCTTTTCCTCAGCTGTGCTGGGTCACACCAGTCCTCTGTGGCATGATGGGCAGCAGCACTGTCCTTCATTAGCAGGGATGGAGGCAGTGCAGAGCCTGTGTTGTGTAGCCAGCACAAGATGTTCACCTTGCAGTCTTTGAGGACTTCAGTGATGGCTCCCAAATGGTAGAAGATGGAGACTGCCTGCTCTGATGTTGATCCCAGCCCATATAAAGGAAGATTTCTTTGGGTATGGGACCAATCCTCTCAACCAGCTCAGAAGGTAGGTGAAAGCTAGGGCTTTCAAAAATGGCATGTTTGGAAAGTTTAATCCTGGATTAATCCTCTACCCCCTTGCCCTCATTGCCTGAGTAGGGCCTCTAGGGCAGAGCTGGGATGGCTCAGAACTCCCTGTCCCTGGGGACGTCCACCCTGAGCTGCTCTGCACCCTCTTTGCACTGCCCAACAATGTGAGACCGGCTGCCCCCAGTGTCAGCTGGGGTAGTAAACTCCCCCAGAGTAGAAAGAGTCATTTTTCCAGCACTGGCATCAGTGATTTATCCTGATGATCCCACCAGGAACAAGGGTGACTCACGCCATGCACATCTCCATCGTCACTTGCCCCCAGGGCAATCCGGTGTGCTCTAATGTGATCTGCTTCACTGGATTCTAGCATCATGGGAGGATTCCAACGAGGGACAACATTAAAAATGACCTTTTAAAGCACACAGGCATGCAAATTTGCCACTTCCACCATGTGGGAAGTCAGCTCCCATGTTGCCTGCTGAGGGTGCTGGGGATGCTCATCTGGTGAGCAGTTTGGAACATGTGCTGGATGTGTCCTAGCTTCCATCCCATGTGCTGCTGTGGTTTGACCACATGGATGTGGGAAAAGTTCAGTAGGAATTTGGAGGCACATCAACAGGCAAAGCAAAAGACAAAACAGTAATGGCAATTAATATAACATTTTTAGGGATAAAATCTGAGCTGAACTGTCTTGAGGGAATAGGAAATACGGGAATGTCTACTGCTGGTATTGGTCATAGAAGCCCTGGAAAAGTGCATTGGGCTGAGATGCATACAGAGAAAGGTGCCAGGGCAAAGGCACAGGGGGACTGCTCACTTCTAGTGAGCATACAGGCATCATAAAATAAAGACTGTCAGTATCTCTCCCTGCTGACAGAACTCAGTCCTTAGGAGCTGTGTTTGCATTCACAGCGCATGGCACAGGCATGGAGGGGTCTGCATGAGCCTGGGACAGACATCCCACCTCCACCTGCTCTATGCCTTTTGTTCCACCTGCTTGATGGTGTTGGTGAGCCTTGAGCTTGGCTTCTGAAGAAGGTTTTGTGTAGTGGTCCCTGGAGATGGAGATGATCCATTCTGCACATTTGCAAGATGATTTGAAGGATGCCACTATCCCACTAACATGCTGGTGAAGGATGTAAGCTAGCCAGCTTGGGCCATGCTGTGGGGTCTGCAGGGGAAAGCTCCCTCCTGATGAGGCTGGGAGGACCTGGAGTCACTCTGCTGGCTGCTGGGGTTGATCTTTGCAAACTTTGGGCCTTCCCCCTGCCTGACCATGGCTGCTTTCTTTTCTTGCTTTACTGTCAGGGCCACAGTTCAAGGTCTGGAGAGCAGTATGTTGTAAGGGAGCTGGGGAGAAAGTTCTGCCGCCCCGATACACCTCCCTTCCCATCGTCCCACCACCTGCACCACCTACATGTGAGCTGGGTGATAGTTTGGTGGAGGGAGCTGGTGGAGGGGAGGGACGGGAGGAGGAGAGAGGAGAGTCTTTGTCTTAACTCTTGCTGTCTCTCTGCTTGGAGTCCAGTGGACGGGACGGGCTTGCCTGGGGTAGACCTGCACTGGATTCAGGTGAGTTGAGTGTTTGATCACTGAGTAGATCTGGTTGGAAGTGTGTGTGTGTGTGTGTCACGCTGGGAGTGCCGGTGTCTCTGGCCCTCCTGCCGCCAACTGCTAAGCACCGGCTGCCTACTGTGCTGTGGGGAGTGGGCCTGTAGATCTGCAAAGGAAAAAACCTTCCCAACATTAAGTAAAGGAGGAGAGAGCTGGAGGATGGAGAGCAAATAAACAGTTGGATTATCTCAGTGAAGAGGTTTTTCTTTCAATGGTTCGTAAAGGAAAGAATGAGTGATGATGCTGCTAAAGGCTGCAAGGAAGCTGCAGAGCAAGGGGGTGTCTGAAGGATGAGTAATCGGTACTGGAGGCTGCAGCAGCAGAGGGAGAAAAGGACTTGGACAGCAGAAAGATTGAGAAGATACATGAAAGTGGGCCAGGAAGGGATGGGGGTGAAGGACAGTGATGGCTAGGTGATAATAGGTATGGAAGGGAAGGTGGTGGGGGTAGGGTAGACTATAGGCATCTCAGCTCCTGCAAGTATAAGGTGATGACTCTCCTTCTGCGCTGTTCTGCAGAGGTGCTGGCCCTGGCCCAGGGAGCTTGACTTGGGGGCTGCAGCTCTAAACGATGTGCTTAGGAGTGTGCTCCTTGTTCTTCTTGCCTTAGAGGCTTCACCAAATTTGTTCCTGTGTAGGAAGGAGACAGTGAGGCAGCACATTTTGTGCATGTGCTAAACTCTGGGGATCTGTGGGCATATTTGTGAACAAACCCAGGCAGAGCACATAGGGGTTTCATAACACTTGATCTGTGTTTCCTTAAATCAACAGTGCTTTTGAAGTAATCACTACTAATCAGGGCTTTCATCTAGTGCCATTGGAAATGCCATTGCCCCAGTTTTTCCTCTTTGACAGCTGCTGATATGAGAGCCTGAACATTGGACCTGACCTCTGCAGCTCTGCAACAGCCCAACTCTGCTGGATTCCTGGGTGCAGATGTGGTCCTTGAAGAGGGCAGGCTAGTGACCCCTGCACCTTATCTCTTCCTTGCCTGTGCTCCTGGGCAGGGCTACAGGAAAGATTTGGTACCCTGGGCTGGAGATCACCCACCTTTTGGAGGGTGCGGATGGGATGCAGTCCCACTGCATTGCAATGCAGTGTTACAGCAGGCACTGTTAGGAAGGGGTTACAGCACTGCTGGAGTCATAGTCCACACACACGCCTCTGCCTGTCCTGATTTCACCTGATGTCCTGTGCACCAGCTGGAGATGGCTAAGCCTGCCCAGGGTCAGACAGATAGATCTCTGCTCGCACCTGAGCAGGATTTGGGGTGCTGGACTCCCTGAACAGGGAGCTCAGTGCGTGGATGACCATGTCAGGGAGCCTGTGTGGCACTGCTCTGTTGCTCTGGTGATGGCTGTGCGCACACACCTGGGCTCTGCCAGATAAACTGTTGGCTCCCTTCATGTTGCATGCTGGGAGGCATAAGGTAATGTGTCATGCCATAACCTCATCTGCCTTTTGGGAAAGTTGTGCTTCAGTACTCTTCCCCCATGCTCCCCGTTTCTCACCACTGATAGCAGATGCCCACAGGCTGTGCTTTTGGGAGGTTAGTCCGGTGTGCCTGCCTGGGGGAGTTTAGCTAAACAATGCCTAGAGCAGTGTGATGCCAAATCCCCTGCGCTGCTCTCCCGCCTCCAAAACAGACTTTTGGAGACGTTTGCTACCTCTGCTATCCCGCCCCAAAGCAGCAGCCGCAGGGAAGCGACTGCAAGGTTCAGGTTTTAGGGGCAGCACAAGTTAGGATTCTTGTGCAGGCTTGCAGAGGGGAGCTGCTTTGCTGCCCATCCTTCACTCACCCTCTACCCTCAGGCTGACCTGTGTCTGCAGCCGGTGGCAGAGCCGCAGAGCTGGGGGCTATCAGCCTCCCTCCCCTCCCCTCCCCTGCCCTGCCTAGGGCTGTGGGTGGCGTTCCTTGTTCTGGGCGAGGAGGCAGCCCTATAGCCACCGTGTCCCCTCGTGTGGACTCTGCCCTGGCCCTGTGGGGCGGCTGCTGGCTGCACCGCAGGTCGCTGCCCCGCCGTGCCCCTGCGGCGCAGCGTTCACCCCTGTGCCGTTCACCCGGCCCGGAGCTGTGCTTGTGCATCCCTCGGCTGTGCGCAAGCACCTCTGACGCAGCCTGCGCACCTCTGGCCACCGGGTGAGTGGCTCCATGGGGCCAGCCGGGCTCTGCGCCCGTAGGAGACCTGTCACTGTGGTGCTCCCAGAGAAAAAGGTGGATCGGCTCCTGGCTGCACGCTGTGTGCAGTGGATACAACCGGAGTACGGGCTGAGCGGTGGCTTTGAGAGTATACTATTTGATGCAAAGGCTGCTTTCTGACCTATTTATGCCCTGCTTATGGGCTGCATCAGTTAGTCTTTTTTGTAGGCTGAAGAAAGAAACCACCTCTGTGTTTCTGTAGCTGAGAGCAGGGATGTGAGCCACTGACCGACAGAGACTGAACTGGCACTGAGAATAGCAGCCTACACTGCTTTTAGTGAGGGGTTTGCCACTGATCGTCTGAAGAGTCCAGGCGCCATTAGGTACTTTTGAGGCTTTTCTGTCCTGACAGCAGAGGACAAGGCAGGAGCCATTGGGTCCCCTTCTGAGCAGGGGGGGGGGGGTGTGTGTAATCTGAAGGATGATGCTCTATAATCCCTGCAGCCTATATCAAAGATGTACATGTCATTAGTGAACTCGGAGTGGCTCCTTATCTCACTCTTACTGGTGTCAGTAAGCAAACATTAACTGCAGAAGTGTTGCTCTTATTTCATGTTGAACATGTAAGCAGGATCTGGTCCTTGTAACAGCCTCCTGTGTCCCATGCACCTTGCTGAACAGATGCTTTGGGAATGCCCTGCAGCCCACACAGCCTGGAAATTAACTAGAAGGAGTAAAGAAACCGACTAGCTTTCAGCAGCTTGAAGAGAAAGGCATTTTAATTCTGACTGCTGTCCTCGGGTTGATCAGTTTTTCTCATGCTGCATGTTCCCTTGCCTTTCTCCTTTTTGCAGCTGGAGTGAGCAGCTCTCCATCAGCAGCAGGTTTGGAAGCAGCCATGGTTGAAGCAGCTATCCCTGCTTACGTAGCTGCTCTTAAATCGGCTGGAAAGCACTTGCTTCTACTGCTGCTGTTTTCCTGTCCATCCTGCAGATACAACCGTATCACAGCAGGATATCCCCGTATTAGCAGCCCACACAGGCTGATCTAACAGGGTTTGTTCCTTAAGCTGTACCTTGGCACTGCTGTTCTTCACTGAGCCCTGATTTTCTGTCTCTGCTCCCAGAGCCACCCCTGCCATTGGCATGCAATGCAGGGTTTCATCTGCCGAGTAAGTGCTGGACCATATTGTGCAACCAAAGAATTTTCTGTGTCCTCCTGCTCCTCCTTTTGCAGCACAGCCCAGCCTGCTTCCTTTCTGATTCCACCTTAAATTGCAGTTTACATGCTTGGTTGCTGCTTGTTTCAAGATGAGACCGAGAACTACAGATGCAGTGCAGACGTCTGCATTGTCCCCTGCAGTTCTGCCTTCTTCAGCTCAGGCAGCACCCGAGTATCCCGAGGTGCTTTAAAACTTTGCTCCCTCTAATAAGTGCTATTGGCTACTTTTAAATCGTATCTCTATTCACTGTTCTTTCACTGTTCTGTCCTGAAATTATCCTCTTCTCCTTTGCCTTAAGATAAAACAGCAGAAGATGTCAAACAGAGGATGTTAACTTCCCAGCAGTAGGAGCTTCTATGTGACAGTAGTTGGGAACAGGCAGTAAGTTTGTGGGAAGGAAAGCTTTAGGAGCATCTCTAATGGCTTATTCCTCTGGTGCCAAACCCCTAAGAGGCTCGCTCTCACCTTTCTCATGTTCTCTTGTTTCTTTTATCACTTGAGCAGCCCCGAATAAGCCCTTTTTGCTCTGGAAGAGGCTGAGGATACCACCGTGTTTTGCTTTCAAGGGACACTTTCATTCTCTCTTTTGCTGATTCCTTCATTCCACCATTTAGTCACAGCTTCTTCCCGAATAAAGCTGATAAATGCTGCTCTCCTGCATCTCTGCATTGTGCATTCACTGTATGCACACACCTGCTGGTGAGTGCCCATGGGAATTCAGAGTTACCCCTGGCTTTTCTTGCCTTTTTTGCCATACTTGAAGAATCCTATGGAGGCAGGTGTGGGAGAAACAGAGCCCAAAATCTGTAAGCAAGGGGAGACTGGGTACCTCACTAATGATGGAGAAGGGAGTTTGTTGGTGCGATCTGTGTTTAAGGCTCCTGCTCTTTTTCCAGTGCCTAGGGCAATCCAGGTGTATTCGTATTTTCTCAGCAATAACTCTAGTGGGGAAAAATGTGGCTACCTCTATGCACCAAGCCCCATACCATTTCAAACAGAGCTGCCTTTTGGCACTGGTCACAGAGGAAGCCCCCTTCTCTCTGTGGGGAGACAACAGGGTGCAGGTCTGCAAAGGATGCTCTAGGCCTGGAGAAAGGCAACCCCTCAAAGTGCTTAGGGTTGAAAATAAAGCGTGGCACTTCTAGAGGAGGCTGGAGAGGTCAGAGGGAGTTGAGGGGGCATCTTAACAGTTGGAAAATCTTTATGGCAGAAGGAAAAGAGGCTGGGGGCAAAGGAGTCGGAGGATTTTTCTCCAAAATCTGGTGCAGGAACAGCAGAAAATGTGCAGACAGGCAGCAAGAGACAAAGCCTTTTCTCTGAAGATGTGTGCTAAGAAGAGGGGCATCCAAAGGGAGAAGAAAATATCTGCCTGTCGGGGAGGATGTTACACTGTGAGGGGGCTGTGGCTGCTGTGGGAGAGCCAAATTGTTCCTAGCTGGAAACAAGAAGTTGTTTGAGTCCCCATCTGGCCTGAGAACATATAGGGCAGGGGCACAGTAGGATTAGATGTTCAGGAAAAGAGCCAGGAGGTGTGTGAATAGGCTTGCTCATAGAAACAGCAGGCAAAGCAGAAAGGGAAGTAGTGGGAATGTGTGATGCTGTGTGTTGCTTTGTTTGGGAAGGGAGAAGCTGAAGCTTGTGGCATGAAGGGCCAAAACTTTGGGCACCAGTTTAATCTACCACCTCTTTCTAGTTGCAGAGGTTTGCTTCTATTAATCAGGGTGCTTTCCTGATTGTATTCCTGATCATATCCCTGCATTTTCCTTTTTAAAACAGGAAAATGAAGCTACAAGTGCTGCATCTCCCCACATGGTCTGTGTTTGTCCCTGCCCTGTTCCCCATTGCAGTGTCCCAGCTTCTGTCCTCTGTGTTGACCTATTCAGGAGCCAGAGGAGAGGTGTCAAAGCTCTGGTCCAGGTGTCCTGAGATGGAGGTTTGCATTCAGTGCATTCCCTTCCTGAGGTTAGGTGAGAGGAGGCAACTCCTTGATTGTGATCTTCCCCCACCTCCATGTGTCAAACAGGTCTAACATATAAACAGGTAAACCATAGGCTGGCTCCTGGACCCACCTTGTATTGAAAGAGTAAAAGCGAAGAACTAGCTAAGTCCTCTCCTGTCAGCTTCTCATGACATCCTCAATAAGCTCAAACTTAAGCATCATTGTACTTGATAATGTGCCCTGGACTGCAGTAAATTGGAACGTGCCAAGGACTGTGACAGATCAAACACGTTTCATTAAGTATGTGTTATTTTTTTCTCTCACATTTGACAGTGCGTGGAGCTCTGCTCCTCTCAAAGACGAGGAGGCTGTGCTGCAGCATCTGAATGAACTGATTAGTTAGCTGGCAAGCCTTGCTGCAGGCAGGCAGTGGGGAAAGGGGCCTTGTCTGGGCTTTGGAAATGAGAAAAGGCTGGCGGGAGGACCTTGTCTTTCAACCTCCCGATCGAACCCAGCAGGTGAGCTAAGTGAAGGGGTCAGTGCTGGGACTGGGAGGACCTCCAAGCTGTTGGTGAGCTGCAGAGCTGCTAGCTCTGCATCAGCCAGCATGCAGGATGTATACCTTGAGTTCTGGTTTGCACCACCTTCTTTAAATGTGGGGTTAGAGGTCTGGATGAGCCTGTCAGAGGACTGATTCAGCTTCACATCCAAGTGTAGACCCACATATTGTTGTACTTGGTGGGCTTGGGGCAGTGCAGTCCATATGAGTAAATAGGTGCTTTCCAGCATATGGACCATAAAGGGCAAAGGCTGGGAAAAAAAAAGGAGGTTGCTTCTCTAAGTGCCCTGGCACATCTGCATTTGACACTGAAACTGATTGTCCCCACTGCAGTACTGCATATGTATCATAGAATCATAGAATGGTTCTGGTTGGAAGGGACCTTAAAGATCATCTAGCTCCTTGAACACTTACAGGATGGTGAAGCCACAACTTCTCTGGGCAACCTGTTCCAGTGCCTCACCTCACCCTCACAGTGAAGAACTTCCTCCTAACGTCTAATCTGAATCTTCCTTCTGTCAGTTTAAAGCCATTCCCCCTTGTTCTGTCCTTACATGCCCTTGTAAAAAACCCTTCTCCAGATTTCTTTCTTTTCCACATATAAGCCTTTATTGGAAATAACTCTAAAAAAAAAACCCTCTCAAATTTAATAGGGGACCAGAATCTTTCTGCAATGTTTTTTGAAGAGGCTGCTTATGGCCTGGAGTAAGGTCTTCACTGATCCCCAGTTGCCCTTCTCTGTGGTTTATGCTCCCCCTGTTCTCCTTGCAGTCCCCCTTACTAAAGGCAGTGTTTATGCTCTCATGGGATTCAGCTGCCTGCATTCAGAGTCCATGGAAATCTGCTGCTGATTTCAAAGTGAATAGGATGGGCCCTTCAGAATGGAGGCAGATTGGGGGAACAAAGTCTGTTGTTGCCCTGGGCATTTAGAGAGCAATTGGTGTATCAGGCTGTGAGATCTGGTTTCCTTTCTTTACTTGAATATCAGAGGAAGGAAACATGCCTTGTGCCAAAAAACTGCTACTGAGCTCTCAGCAGAAGTTGTCTTTTTGTATGCATGCATCTTTCTTTGCCCCAGGGCCTAATATATCCAGAGGGTTAGGATTTAGATAATTTCATTTGCGTTGAGCAACTTACAGAACCAAATGAGACACGGTGATAATGATGCTGTTTTACACGGAGGAAGTGCAAGCATAGCAAACCAGTTCTTTCTCCTCCTTTCCCCTTATCTCATTGAAAACTACACCCGCACAAGTGCCATGGTGTTTCTAGGCTGCTGGGGCAGTCTGATGTTAGGACTACACTTGTTCTTATTCCCAGCTAGGTCAGACTCCCTACTCCCCATGAGATGTCTCATACCCTGCTGCTAACCCAAGGAGAGATGACTGGAGAGGCACAAGGAGGGAGGGAAATTTGCCATCGTGGTCCTGGTGAGCCATCTTGATGCAGAAGGTTGATGGATGGGTCTGGTAGTCCTATCAGGTAGAGGACGTCAAGGGTGATGAGATCTTGCTCACCACTGACTTTCTGACTGGGAGAGGACCCAGGCCTGAGCAACTTCCAGAGCTGTGCTTGGACTTTGCCTGAGCATACCTGGGGCAGTGATAGAGTTCAGGAGTGTGGGTGATGCAGATTGCTGTCCCTGCTGCTCCCTGGAGATAAGGATGTTCCCATAGGAGGCACAGAAGGAATGATAGATGTGCTATTAAAAAACTATCAAACTGCCGGCAAACCTAATCTGTAAGTTAATGTGAAGGAACAAAGCCCCGATTTCTTAGCAATCTCAGATGGTGAGAATGGAAGCAGAGATGCTACTGCTTTGGAGAGGCTTGTTTCCAGCATAGTTTCCTAATGCCAACATGAGAATGTGTGTCTCTTGCTAATGCCAGTCACCCCTTCAAAAGCCAGCTCCTGCTCAGCAATACAGCCAGTGAGACGTAGCTAGAGTTAGGACTTCTCTGGCTTAGTTCATCATCTCCCCTGCTTGTCTTAGGTCTGTGCTTTCTGTTTGGCCTCACATGTCCATCCCTACCTCAGAAAACTTTCTTCTCATAACTAAATGCTCATAAACAATATAAAAATGTCGTTGAAAATAAGATTCAGTCTGGTTTGTGTGAATTCTAGCTGGATTTAAATTAACTAGCCAAATAAAGGACTTTGTGTATGGTAGAAAATTGTATCTTGTAACAAACAGCCACTAACTCTGCTTAATTAAGTTGATGCTAAACACATTCCAGGATTTAGTACGGACTGGAGAATGTCTTTCTTATACCACCCTAGAGGCTCAGTCGCATTCACTGTGTCTTCTCTAACAGTGACTTTGTTCCATGTTTCCAACGGCTGGGCTTTTTCCTACTAAGGTTTTCACTGCAATGGCTTGTCTAATCTCAGCATTGCTCAGACCTGGAACACCTCACAAGTATAAGGTCATTTTCCTCATCTCATGGGCTTTGTTTCTTTCCTCTGTATTTTTTGCAGGTTCAGGCAAAGGCATAGGATTCAGGCTTTGCTTGTTTGTGACTGAAGGGAGCCTGGGTCAAACAAGCATGTGTGTGCACTTGCCAATGTGGCAGGCTATATATAGTGTAACATGGTGTTCGGGGGGTCAAAAACGGTGCTTCTTGCAATGCCTTGAAGTATGATGGTAGGTTGTTCATTCTTGTTCACACTATTAATATGTAATATTTCTATCCTGCCCTCTGAAGCCATTCCAGGAGACAGTTGCGTATAAAGCACACAAGGAAGGGGAACTCCTGCCCACAACCCCCACTTCACCTCCAGCTCCTGTTCTCTTCATCCGAGCTGTTGTTTTCCAAGTCCTGGCTGAGTTTCCAGCAATGATGGAGATGCATTTAGTCAGGGTGCAGAGGGGCAGATAGAGGTGCACCAAGGCTGGTGTTCAGGGAAGGATGAGGAAGAGGACAGTGGGAGAGAAGGGTGAATTCAGGGTGTCCAGCAAAGGATGGTGCAGGTGGATCTGCCTCACCTGGCAGAGTGAGGAAAGTGACCTTTCCTTTGCCCCTTCAGCACAGACTTTCTGTCTCACAGATGTAACTTTGGGAAAATGCTTTTGCTGATGCTGAAGAAGACATTTTCCAGAGGATGAGGGAAACTCACACTGATACTAGGAACACATCTGTTGTGATAACTGGTCCCGTCCCTCCTCTTCCCACATGTCCCACAGCAGCTCCCTACATCCCATACTCATTTCTTCCTCTATCCCACAGAGACATGACAAGAGCTGTGGCTAAGGAAGGAGAGCCCAATGGGGTCCTTGCAGCTCCCGAAGAGATAAAACAGGAGGAAATGGAAGAGAGAGGCCAGTGGAGCAGCAAAATGGAGTTTGTGCTGTCTGTGGCTGGCGAGATCATTGGTCTGGGTAACGTGTGGAGGTTCCCCTACCTCTGCTACAAGAATGGTGGTGGTGAGTTCACAGAATGCATGAATTGTCCTAGGTCTGCAGGCATGACAAGAGGTACATGTGTGCCCAGATCCATTTCTCCTATGCCTCATGTACTCCCACATGCCCTCATTCTCTCCTCTAGTAAGTTAGCTCCTGCCAAAGCCAGGAGGAATATAAACTGAGTGGTGAATCTCCCCATTGGCCACTGGTTCTCCAAGCACATCTCACAGGTATGAGGGCCAAACTGAACTTTAGTAACTCTTTAAGGCTCTTGGGCATCTTGAGAAACAGTTGATCTGAAACCATCAAATGCTATGAGTGGTCAGAAAGCCATCAGCAACCTTCTTCTGTAAAAGTCCTTTTTTCCTACTCTCTGTGTCACCCTCACCTCCCTCAGGCCCTTGTTAGAGAGGACAAAGGCTTTGATGGTGCTGGTATCCTTACCATGGCCTGATGCCTATTGGAAGGGCATTACTACCTCTTTCCCAGAAATAGTTATCCCAGTGGTCAATCCACTGCTAGTGAAACCTGTCCGCAGGAAATTTGTTCCTCTTCTTTTTTGCTTCTTGTGTCACTTTCCTTTTCCAATAGCACTGCAATAAGGTCATTACATAGTTAAAAACTAAACTTTCTCATAACAATAAGATGAAACTGGGAAAGAGGAAGGTAATAATTGACTGTCACTAACTTTTCTTGGTGAATTGAAATCTAACTTTATAAAAGAAAAAGATGAATAATAAATTACATGTCACATACAGCAATAACTTCTCTTTTGTTCTCGTTCTCTAGAGACACCTTGAAATAATGCTTTGGGACTTGCATGTTCCCCCTGCTTTAAACTTCCTTTCTCTGCAGACCCTGACACAGAAGCCTTTCTTTCCCAAGCTGCTCTGAGCTTTCAGCAATGGATGAGTTCATTCCAGGTCTACCAAATTCCTGTCCCCTGTGCTGCTGCTGGAGTTTATCCAAATCAAGCAGGACTCAGTACAGTATCTCCTCTGAACCAAATAGGGGTTGGATAAAAGGATGGTTAAAGAAAATGGAATTGAGTTTTTCTTGAACCTGCGATGATTTTTAGCACATCCTCCAGTTTCCTTCTCTGACGTTTTGATGATAGGCACTGGAAGCACCAAAAGCAAGTCAGACTGGCACAGGTTAGTAACCACTTGTGGTGCGCCTGATTGAACAGCCCATTCTGCAGTAACACTTCAGAGAAGTCATGGGTTTTGCATGGAAAATTTCTTCCTGAGCTCAGATGATATCTTTGCATAGTTTATGCCTATGGTAACTGGTTCAGTAGTCCATGCAATTTGTATGCTAATTAGTGTAAGTGAAAAGGCTACTTTTGTTCATTTTAGATATCTACTGAATAAATTTATACTTTTTTTTTTCAATTAAACTACTCTGGAGTATCGAATATTGATATTCAGAGGCCAACAAGGCTAGGCTTGGGAAAGATCGGGATGGGAGAGCCCTTCCCTCACAGCTCAGACACTGCCTTTGCAGAAAATATGCTGCTATTGTAGAAGGTCATTCTTCTCTCTAGGGCTCTAGGGAATCAGATGGCAAACCAATTAGTACAGGACAAGGCTCTGTGTTTCCCATGACACTGAAATATATTCTCACCATTGGAAAAGTCCTTGAGAATGCAAAAAAGGGATTTTCCCCACCTTTAAATCATAGAATCACAGAACGGTTTGGGTTGGAAAGGACCTTAAGATCATCTAGTTCCACCCCCCTGCCATGGGCAGGGATGCCTTACACTAGATGGAATCATTGTTGCGAGCGCCCCCCCCCCCCCCAACTGGTTATTGCTGTCCTGTCACCTTTCTCCACCTTTTGATGTACTGAGATGATTATAAAGCTGTAAAGACAGATATCATAACTGCGCTAACTTGCCATAAAGCAACCAAATGTAAACTTGTCCATGGTTGCACGTTCAAATTTAATCAAATTGCTCAGCATCCTGACCTTGTTATTGACTCATAAGCAAAGGGGGTCTGTTTCTGGGGGCTCTTCTCAGGGCTGAGTCTCCTCTAGAGGTACAGCAAACTGGGGAGGTGATCACAACTGGAGTGGCTGCTGGTAACTACTGTGAAGAGAAGGTTAAAAAACCCAAGGCAATAGAGACGTTTTTTAGAGGTCATTACTCAGAGACCAAACTGGATCAATCTCTGGGACAAATGGTATCAGAGGAGAAGGTCTGAGACCTGCTGAAAGGCTCATCTGTGTGCAGGATAACAAAACTCTCTGCAGATTTGGCATTACAGCACCGAAAGCAGCAGCTGCCTCTAGCTCAGCATGTGCTGTTCCCATTCCCTGCCCTGAAAACCTGGACTGATGCTGTGAATCAGCATCCCATCCTCTGGCCCCACGTCCCCTGCAGATACAGCACAGCTGTGTTTCCACAAGGAAAGTTGGATTTTCCTTGTTATTGCTGGCTTAAAAACAAGGGGAAGTATTCCTAGTTGATAATTGTGATGGGAAGGAATTTCAGTGCAGATGCCTGTGCTGGCAGGGGAGGAGAGGGCTTGGGAGACAGTGTCTACCTCTGCTGAGAAAGGGGGCCCTCATCTTGGTTCAAACAGCTGAGATGCTCTCCAGGCAATGGTGGTGGGAGGTACTCATGACCAGAAGTTTACTGTATGGGGTGGCAAGACCTTAACAGTTGTTCCAGTGCGAAAGGCAATGGCATTGGCCTGTTTGGAAGAGAGCAAAAGTGCAAAAACCTGCACTAATGATGGGGAAGAAAGACTGTGAGGCTGTAGAACAAAGGTCAGCATGGAAACTGTGATCTCAGGAGCAGTTTTTAAGCAGAACAGCAAAAACATTGGGTGTTTGAGTTTAGTAGAACCAAAAAGAAGAAATAAAAGTTTCAGACAACTGAACAGGGCATTAAACCTAATTTATTTTTTTTTTTCCGTTTTGGTTTGATTTTCTGATGCTTTGTTTTTGTTGGTCATTATTTCTGGAAAAAAACATTCTCTGTCCCTTGCCTCTTCCATTTTATCGAGGATTATCTGAAGGCTATTTCAGACTGACTTCTTTTAAGACATTTCTCTATATTTTGATAAAAAAATTGAATTTGAAGAGAGAAGTAAAACTTTCTCATTTTGAAAATGCTGGAGGGATGCTCTGTTGCTCTTCCTTATTCTCATTGTTTTGGTGCAAACTGCTTTTCAAATTTGATGTGAAATGCATTTCAAGCAAATTTATATTCTAGCAACTGTATTACTTATCAAGAAATGTCACCAGCCTCCAGGTTTGTATCCTCTGGGCAAGTGGGAGTTTGCTGTGACTCCCAGGAAAGGCAAAGCAAATGTGGTTATGTGAAACAAGGGCTCCTTTTGCTTCGCCTGACTCCTGCTGAAAGAGGAGTGAAGCAAGGACTGTCTTTTCTTATCCCCTTCCCTGACTACTCCTAGCCTCTAGGTTTTGGCCAAGACCAAATGCAGAAGTACTGCAATAGCACAAGACAGACCATGCTTGGTATTTTTTCCAAGTGATGATGGTGTTGGAGACCTTGGGGTTTTTAGCAGAGGTTGTGCAGTTAATTCAGAGATTTTTTGCTGTTTATCTAGCTGATTCCAGCTGTGACCTGGCAAGGGGTCGTGGGGATGAGGTTTTAAAGAGGTTTCTTAGGCAGCATCTTACCCCTCTTTGCAGGAGCCTTCCTTATCCCCTACCTCATCTTCCTCTTCACCTGTGGGATCCCTCTGTTCCTCCTGGAGACGGCGCTGGGGCAGTACACCAGCCAGGGAGGAGTCACTGCCTGGAGGAAGATCTGTCCCATCTTTGAAGGTAAGTCAAGTTCCTGGAATTCCTGGCAGCACTTTCTAACACTTCATAATGCAGAAACTTTTTTGGAAATGTTACTATTTTTTTCCCCTCTTTCTCCTTCATTCTCCCTCCCTTTTTCTCTTTCCATGTCTTGTTATCCCTCCTGCTGACTGCTGCATGTGCAGGAGCAGTGCCCTAATCACCCCATGCACAACTGAGGGTGTGGGATGCTGGCTGGTGGCTGTGCTGGTCCAGCTGAGCCACAGTCTCTGCTTTGAGATGCACAGAGACTGGGCAAGAGGAGGAGCAGAATGGCCAGCAAGCAACAGAAGGAGGTGGATGGAAGTGGCAAAGACCTCAATGTAGTCCCAGAGAAATACTGAAAAGAGAATGAGGAGGGCTGGCTGGCTTATGATGCTTTCCCTGCCCATTACTGTGCCCAGGGCTGCTGTGGCAGAATTCGCAGGCTGGTGTCCTGCAAACTAGGGCGGAAATTACAAACTTCCCACAGTGGTCTGATAGCCCAGCGTTGGGCTGGGGTTGTGGTTGAGGCACAGGTATGAGAACCAAGACTCCTAAGGCCCAGGAAAAGTCTCTTTAATGGCATTAATGCATTAATGAATCTCACATCCACAATTCTGCTGTCCAGAGGAGAGCTTATTACACCCACATTTTGCAGACAGCAATGAGCAGAAGCAGGGCTAAAGACCAGAGCTCAGCTTCTAAGTCTGTACTTTTGCCCCAGTGCTTTATGTATATCAGCTGTGAGAACACTTTTTGCCTGAGTCTTCCCAGAAGGAAGAAATTCCCCTACGTTTCTTTTGTTTAAAAGCTAGATCTGGCTTTCCTGCAGGAGAGGCAGTGTAAAGCAGGGATGTGGTAGCAGGGAGAATAAAGTTTACCCATCAGTGAAAGTTTTCCTCTCTGTTCACCATAGACCTGTCTAGAGATACCAACAGTGCTTCCTGCCTGCATGCAAAGTCACAAAATCCTTTCTGTTTCCCTGAGGTAGGTCTTCCCTTGTTCTCTAGTGAGCCATATGGTTGGTGCTACACCCTTCTTACCCTGGCATGGTCTATGTCTTTGGGGTTAAGCCTTATGTGTTGAGACTTGGTTGACAGCCCCATCCTCATCCCTTTTGCTTTCCTTCGCAGGAATCGGATATGCCTCACAAGTCATAGAGTGCTATCTGAATGTCTACTACATCGTCATCCTGTCCTGGGCACTCTTCTACCTGTTCAGCTCCTTCACTGTGGTGCTACCATGGGCCACCTGTAATAACCCCTGGAACTCAGGTACATCTTCCCTTGGTTGGCTTTTAGATCCATCTCAATTCCAAGAAATTACTTGGATTTTGTAGAAAATATTTTTTATTCATAACAGTTCCCTTTGTGCACTGAGCTTCTGGCTAAATCAGACTAAGCCTGCATGGGAGGATGTTGCCAGTACAGGTCTCCCAGTGCAGGAACCAGTAACACAGAGCTGTAAAGGCACTGTTTTTCTGGTCTAATCACATCCATACAGGCCTCTATACCATTATGGTGGCAGGGGTCTCATCTCCTCATGCCCACAATTCACAGAACTGTGCCCAGGACAAAAAACCTGGTTTTGGTTTTGTTCAAGGCACTTGGGCTGTGCCTGGGAAGGATGGGGTAGATGCACTGGGAAGAGCTTTGGTGGCAGCTCAGTTCCCTTCCTTTTCCTCTTGGGTCAGACAGTTAATTTCTGTGATGTATTAGATTTCTCCACCCTCTTGGGCCATTCACTCACAGCTTTCTCTGCCCCTTCACCCCAGCAGAAGTTGTCGGCCTTTTAAAGAATTGAAAGCCACAGATGTTCTTTTAACAGATAGAAGACTCCCAGCCACATCTGGGCTTCCCTGGTTTCCTGGTGGATTGTCTTTTGCTTGCCAAATGCAAGATGAGGTGCATTTCTTGGATGCATGGCCTCTCCTCTACATTTAGTAATTTCATGCTATGTGACAAGGTTGGGAATGAAGAGTGGAACATGAAGGCATCTGTGTGTAAGCATGTATATGCATGTGTAGGCAGGGAATAGTGAGTGGTCTGGGAGGAGAATGTGGTTTTCTATCCTGACGAGTGGCTATGTCTCAGTAATCCATATTTTGCAGCCATCTGGTTTACATTTGGCAGGGATTTGCTCTCTCCTTCTTCTCTTCCCTTCCCAAAGCCCTCTGGCTACTGCTGGATTGGGATTTGTAGCTGGGGAGAGCCAGAGCTTAATGAGATGCTTAATGAGATGCAAGAATTTAATGAGATGCTCTATAGCATGGGGAGAAGGATCTGTGTGTTGCCAGAGTGAGCATTAGGGTACAGAGGGGAAGAAACATCCCTCATGGAGGGACCTTGGAGATTTCCTCTGGCTTATCAGCTTCCTGTTCTTTTGGTAGATCTCTGTGTGGACATTCTGAACCGCTCCAGCCTGGACAATGGGACCTTGCCTGCAAACGCCACGTCTCCAATGATTGAGTTTTGGGAGTACGTGATCGTTTTCCCTCTGTTCAGGCTCCTCTGTCATCCAAATGCAGCAGCTATAGGACTATCCAGGTGGAGGGCTGTGCATCTCTCTAGAACCAAGCGAGGTGCCACATGTCAGACCCAAATGTGGGGAGCACAATGCACCAAGCTGCCAAGGAGTTTGGCACAGAACTCAGGAGCATGAGGACTAGATACAGCCCAAAGGCTGCTCATACTGTGCCTGCCTAAGGGTGCTTGTGTGCACACATGCACAGGCATGTTCCCTTTCTGGCACTGAAGTGTCTGGGTGATTGTGGCCCCAGAAAGAGGCACCAAGAAAAGATGAGGACTTGCTGTAAGCAGGACATACTTGTGATGGGTGTTGCAGGCTACTGTTGGCAGGCAAGCAGGAAAGGCCAAGGTAGACTGAACAGTTCGGTGCCGTGAAACAAAACGGGACAAAGCTGCTTTTTCCCTTCTTGGTGCCTTTTCTATTCCCTTCTTGCTTGGTGCCTGAGGGAAGTGGTCCATCAGACTGCTCAGCCTCATCTCTGAAGACCAAGGATCTGAGGCACATGCGTGAGATGCCAGAGAAGGACTTGGAGAGGTTTGGTCATGGGGCTGGAAGCAATAAAACACCTCTGGAGGAGGGCCCTGCAGCAGGCCAGACAGTGTCCCAGAGAGGGTCATCACTGCAGGCTGCACAGGTTGAGATGGCTGTTGTGGCCACACTACCTCTCCAGACTCAGCTGAGGAAGGTCTCATAAAGAAGAGGGGTGCCAGGGATTCAGCTTCAGAGGTACTTTTTTTCCCCCATTTATGGCTCCTAAAGTGCTTTTGAGCAGGCTGACTATGCTTTGTCCCTTGCAGCCACCACAGGGCACATACAAGATAATATGAGCCCATGAGTTCAGAAAGAGCCTGCACAGTGCTGGACCACCTCTCCTGCCCTATTCTTAGGACATACTATTTATTGAGAGCTGTGACCCCTCTGAAATGACTGGGGAGCAGGCAGTGATTTTGTGTTGCATGGGTTTGATGGGCATGGTTTCACGTGCTTGAAGAATGGGAGGGTTTGGACCAGCTACAGGACATGGTGGAGGAGCATCAGCAGGAGCAACAGAGAGGGGAGTCTTGGGCAGTTGTATTGTGGATAGTCTGTTAAGTCTTCGGATGGGGTAATATGGGAAAGTTGTGTATGGATTGGTGGGGTCTGGGGTGTTAATGCTTTTCTCCCTGTCCCTGGACACCGGCAGGAAGCGAGTCCTGGGGCTCACGGATGGTATTCACAAACTGGGCAGCCTGCGCTGGGAGCTGGCTCTGTGTCTCCTGCTGGCGTGGATCATCTGCTACTTCTGCATCTGGAAAGGGGTCAAGTCCACAGGCAAAGTAGGAATGGAGACTGTTGTCCTGGTCCATAAACCTCCTTATACCCATCTTCTATTACTTCTTGAAAAGGGAAAGAGTCAAACCTAAATCCTGGTAGGGCCATACTGATTTGCACCTATTGTGTTGGACCCATGCAAGGAAGAATAGAAGAGGTCAAACAGGCAGAGGAAGACAGAGAAAGATCTTGGGTCACCTTTTCCCTTACAGATATGCACGATGGCTGATGGATACTCCCCAACTGCCCTTGTAAGTCATCCACTCACCAGCGTGTTGTTCTGGTGTGGCTTGCTCGTGTTTTTAACAAGATCCTCTGCAGTGTCGAGCTGCCTATTCCTGACAATAATTAAACACTCAAGAAAATAGACAAGCTGCTGCCTGTAACCAGCTCAGTGAATAGACAATAAATCTCTCCTGCTTCTTTATCCTGCACAATACTTGGGGTGGGAGAGGACTCTTTGTGCTCTCCTTTGTATTCTCCCTGGCTCTGCAGGTTTGGCTCAGCCGATCTTCCTGCATTTTGCAGGAAAGGCTGGAGCCAATGCTCCCTTTTGATGTTGATCCCATGGATCTGGTGGACTGGTCATCTTTCTGGAGTGAATGGGTGTGTGATGGCTTGGGGCAGGTGTCATGGATGCCTTGGATTGTTCAAGACCTCCTTGCTTCCTGGAGCAGCAATGAGATGGATGAATCGTTAATGATGGTTGGGTCTTGAGGGCATCCAGAGGATGTCTCAATAGTAAAGGGAGAAAAACCAATTTCTGCAATAGACTTCTCCCTTCAAAGCACTACCCTTACTACTGCCAGATGTTCCTTGTAGTACTGGACACCCATGTTCCAGTGTCAAATCCTCTCTCTCACCTTAAAACTTCACTGGGCACCCATTTTAACAGAGCAAGACAATAGCTTGCTCTGCTCACTAGGTTTCTCCCAGGCTTTGCTGATGACTCTGGCTGTTGTTGTCCACCATTTCTCAAGGAGGAAGAGCCAGACTCCACATTTATGAGGAGAGGGGATGCTCCACATTTTACATCTTAAATCTCTGATGCTCCCAGCACCAAAGGAGAGACTCAGTGAAAAGGGCTGAGAGCTGAGGGGAACCTGGAATGATTTAATTACTCTTCCATGCAGATCAAACCAAATCAAACCCAAGCCTCCCAGACCCAATCTCCCAAGATCAGAATGATACGTCTTGTAAAGGTGGCACTGTGGTATTTAAACTAGGAGCATCAGAAGGAAGAAACTCTTCCATGTTACCAGGAAAACCATTCCAGCTACTATATGCACTCACTGTTTCCTCTCACTTTCTGGTCCGATTTTGCCAAACCCAATCAGTCCAACCAGCTTCACTGAAATTCTTTAGCTTTTTCCTTGTGCAGAGCTTGCCTGGGACCACAGAAGGTTTTTCCATCACCAGTTGTTTGAATACAGGGCTTACTTTATACCAGCTGGATGTCATGGATGTGGTGCAGCAATACAGAGTGGCTTTTTCTATCCTGAGCCATACCACAGGTCAGACAGGCCAGTTGTCTCCCCTGCAGGTAGTGATTTTGGGTTCTACAGGGGAGGATGTCAAAAAAATCAGCTCCTTCCTTCTTTTCCTCCCTGAGTATGTAATAGGATAAGCAGTAGGGATGTTCCAGGGATTCTGAGTAGGTGCATGATTTTGCTCAGGAGCTGCAGAGTAAACAGGATGTTGTGTTTGACTGGGAGGCTGCTCTAACCTGATAACTCTGCCAGACCCTTGTGTTTATGCTTCTGTGATTTAAGGAGTCCAAACTTCCAGAAACAATAGCCAGCTCAGGAGCATAGTTTCAAATAACACCATAAAGACTCCACTTTCTTTAAAAGCCTTTTTCTTTTATTCATTTTGCCGCTGTTGTGCTCTTTCCATGTTTCCTTTCCTCATGCGTTCAGCTAATGTGTATAGATGTTCCCCAGAAGTGATTTCTGAAGGTAGAGTTTAGTACTTGTGCCAAAAGCGCTCACATTCTCATTCAATCGGGGAACAGCAAAAATACCATGTACTGTGACTTATTTGACCAATTATCACTAAGCAGAAAAAACGTCATTTTAGGCCTCTCACTATGAATCCATTGAGTAAACAAGCCTTCACATTACTTTGATGAATTTTAACAATGAATAAATGCTAGGAAGTTGCAACTTGCTTGTGGATATTTTGCAGGTAGAAAAAGCCCCAAACTGTTACATTAGGCAAGGGGTTAGAGATGATTAATTGTACTGTAATGTTTATTTACACCACACACAAGAAGTGAAAAGAAGGTCTTACAAACATAATGGTCTATATTTTCTTCCAAGGCTTTGAGGTGCCCCCATTTACCTGTGAGCTCAGAGGCATGGAAGGGATGAAGGAGCTGCGTGAGCACCCCTGGAAATGAGGCCCACCGGAGGTGTCTCACAAAAGTCCCCATTTAATTTGGAAAACTCTTGCTGGGAATAGGACCATTTTAATAACTCCTCATTAAAACTCAGTGACAGGAAGAGATTTGAATTTCTTCTGTAGCTCTAGAAAGATGAAGAGAACAGCTGGAGAGCAGGGAAATTACACTGACTGGAAAGAGAAAATAAAGCAGAGCAGCCAGTGACAGTGTCCTGGGTGAGGACCAAAATGTAGATTAACTAAATCACTGCTGACATGTAACCTCAATTAATTTCTTTCCCACCCCTCTTTGACACTAGCAGTAGCAGCTATAGCCAACAGCAGGGACCAGGGATGTTTGCCAGGGTGGGGGCCTGCAGACAGGATGAGAGGATGCCTTCACCCCCTTCCTGCTGACCCTCTCTTCTATGTCCCTGCACCCACAGGTTGTTTACTTCACTGCCACCTTCCCTTACGTGATGCTCATCATCCTGCTGGTGCGAGGAGTCACGCTGCCAGGTGCTGCCGAGGGGATCATCTTCTACCTGAAGCCAGACATCTCCAGGCTGGCAGACCCACAGGTGGGTGCTGGTCAAGCACTTGCTGGCCACAGGAAGGCTTCCAGCACCCTGGCTCCTGGGTTCGCTGCTAGCTGAGAGGATCTAGCTGTCTTCTCTGGAAGGAGACTGGCAAACACTTGAGATGTCCTTAAAAGAGCTGAGAGAGGTCTAGTCCCCCTGCACAGCACAGCCTTTTTGCTTGTGTGTCTGCAGCATATGGGCATATTGGATAATTTCAGCAAAACCAGAAGAGTATATGAAAGATTCAGCGTGTAACAGATGGTTTTGCTGGGTCTTAAATGCACATAATTGAGGAAAGGGTGGGGAAAATACTCTACTGCTTTTTGAGTGGTTTTTGGCCTGGTTAGCATTTTGTTTGGCTCTAACAGCCCCTGCTCAGGGAGTGCAGGGCTGCTGCACTGGCAGAGACCAAATGCACATGGGTAACACAGGCTGTGTCCCAGCTGGGCAGCGGGTTCCCTTCACACATCCCAGGGGCTGGTCCCCCTTGCCTGGGTTAGGGACTGGCCAAAGGGTCTCATTGGAGCCCATGAAAAAACCCCTGGCAGGGAAGATGCTGCGTACCCAGGGAGGACTAGTCCAGATTAGGGCAGAGGATGCAGCCAAACCCAGGATCTGCAAGGCAGCCCAAGATGTAGGAGGTGGGCAGCACCCTTGGGGGCTGCACAGGGCAGGCAGCAGGACCCGCCTTGGTAGATCCCCCAGCATGGTCTGCTACAGCATCTTTCTGTAGCAGCAGGTTGCTTCCCTTCCCAGTGTGGGCTCAGCAACACTGTGCAGGCTGCCTCTGCCATCCCAGGGTGGTGTTAATACAGACCCTTCCCAGAAGAGCGTTTAAATGACACTGCTGCTAATTATTCCCCCTCTAAATCTTTTCATGGAGGCAGCCAAGCAATATGCTTAGCCCACAGTCTTAGCTTACCTCCTGCATCTTCCCAGATGGCCAAAGCCCCAGCTGCTCCCAAACCAGCTGCCAAACACACTGTCTTCCCCCAACTGGCTTTCAGAGGCAATTATGTCTTGTCAGTACGGAGTCTGTGGTGCGCTCAATGCGAAAAGCCAGCTGAACAAAACTGGATTTTAATATCAAAATAAATAACAGGGGGGTGACTGGGGTTGAGTGTGTTTTGTTCACGGCCAGAGCTTATTCACTGAGAACCTCCCAATCTTTCAAAGCCTAACTAAACCTGATGTGGTCTTTCCAGGCTGCTGCAACCCAGCATAGTAGGAGTGAGAGCTCCTGATACTGAGTTTAGGGAGAATGTGGTGCTTTGGTGTAAAGCAGGGTGTGTGCCCATGCCTGGAAGGCTCCCATGTACGTGCCTGTCTGTGAGAGACTGGTGTGAATTTAAGCAGCAATGCCTGGGCTGTGATTTTTTGAAGGCTGCAGAATTGCAGCTGTCTGGATGTCTGCAGCTTAGAGGAAAAAGAGAGTGAGAGGAATACACAGACAAACAGAAAACAGAAGATATGCTCTTTTCCTGTCTGCCGGCTAGCTCACAGCTCAGGACTGTCCCTGGGAGGGTATGAGTTTGGCCCATAACACATGGAGTAAAAGGACTCCTCCATGGAAGAGAGCTCTGAAGCAGTGGTGAACAAGCCCACTTAGCTTTTTCCATGACATGACAGAGCAAAGGGGAACCTGGATGCACAACACCCCACTGGCCTGAAATCTCTCCACCTGGAGATTTTCTGCCCTTCATCCTGCACAGTAGCCTCAGAGATGTGGGGAACTAGCTTGGGGAGCAGGGAAGGGAACACATTGATCACACAAAGTACTTGCTGGCCTGCATTTGGGATGATTCACCAGTGTGGACCCTGAGCCATGCAGGGACCACAGACACCACTGCTCAACCTCAGTCAGAGCTGTGCTGCCAGGGCTGCTGTCTCAATGCAGAATGCAAAGACACAGGATGGAGAAGTGGTGTTACCTTGAGTGAGATGTGGAAATACGGTCCCCTTAAGAGGTTTTTCCTAGATGATTTTCTGTTCAGTTTTCCCAGAGAGGTATCCCAGGTTTTACATCCACTAAGCTCCTCTCTGTCTCAAGGGGTTTGTTCTGCATGGATGGAGGTGTTGTTGCTAGACAGGGCACAGCCATTTGTCTATTTCGTTGCCAGGTCTGGAGACAACTGACCTTCTCTGTTCCAGGTCTGGATGGATGCAGGCACTCAGATCCTCTTCTCTTATGCTATCTGCCAGGGGTGCCTGACAGCTCTGGGCAGCTACAACAAATACACCAACAACTGTTACAGGTAAGATGAGCCTGGACTCCTTGTATCCTTCTAGAAATGTGCTGACATAAATGGCACAGAGCTGCATCTGAGGCAGGATCCATCCACAGGGGAGGCTTTAGGTCATGCTGCTTTGACTAGCAAGCCGCAGAGGCTGAAGTGTAGGATGGAGAGTGGCTGAGGGAAGCTGAAGACTCCAGAAAATGGCTTTAGTAGTGCCCTGTGAAATGGGAGAGATAGGAGGAGGGGGAGGTTCAAAAATAGAGAGTGTCTCCAGCCACTGTGGAGACACCACGGGCTATTTTGACATGGGGAGTGCACAGGGGTGGCATGGCCAGCTCTGCTGTCACTTGCTAGGCAGGGGAGATGGTACAAAGATGATGGCTGAGCCCCCTGTGTCCAGTGCTTTCCTATCATCAGGGTAATATCCTGTCAGTGGTATTTCTATCCTATCAAGGAGATTAATCGAGTCTGTCTGGCGTCCTCCTGGCCCTTGAATTACAGATCTATATTATCCATGGCATGAGCTGGAGCTCAGTGAAGCCATCATGACCATTTCTGACACCTTCCACAGAGCCCCCCAAGGAGCAGGGAATTTGTTATTTCTTCATATATTGCTCCAGCATGGATGGGAAAATGTAATGGTACTTGAGAGACATCAATCATCTCTCCTCTTCTGTTTTCCAATAGGTGTTGCCACAGCTGTTGGTCAGCCAATTAATACTTTTCCCTGGCTATCCTGAAATGCATCTGCCACCAATGGAGTGGTGCACTGGCACCTTCCTCTAATGCCTTAGGTGCCTTGGACTGGCAGCTTAGCTCTGGCTGGCCCACATGGCCCTCTTTCTTGAGTGTGTTTACTTTTGCAGCCTCTTTCATTTCCTAATTTGCCATTTCCTCACTTTCTCTGTGTTTTTTCTTATTCTCTTGACTCCTGTCACCTTTTTTGTTGCCGTGACCCTATGTATATCATGGCATCCCATTCACAAGCCACTCTTTGTGCCATGTACAGGCCTGTGACTCTTGAACAGTGGGGTACAAGGTAGGTGGGCTGATTTTTTGATCTGTTCTGAACATTTTACTTCTGATGGAGTTCAAGAGCAGCATTGCTGTTCCTTGGTCCTTGCTGTTTGACCAGGGAAGCTGAACAGACATGATCCCAGGTAGACCCATTCTGCAGCGGGAAACATTGATTTCTCTCTGGTCTTACCCCTGCAGGGACTGCATCATGCTCTGCTTCCTGAACAGTACCACCAGCTTGGTTGCTGGCTTTGCCATATTCTCTGTGCTGGGCTTCATGGCTCGAGAGCAGGGTATACCCATTGCAGAAGTGGCTGAATCAGGTAGGATTTTCCCTGAGACTTCAGAGCCAAGGCAAACAGAGAGCCTCAAGGGGAGGGGGCTTTCAGAAATAAAGCCCAGGATGTTATCTATGTTCTCCATTGTTACGGGTGTCTGCAGCAAGATCTGCAGGACCAGTGCTCTCCAACACAGCTTTCAGCCCTGTGTGGGCAAGGAGCTTTGAAGCAGTATGTGACTCGCTCCATACTGCAGGGTGGTGGTGGCAGGTGATGGTGTGGGGAGCACACATGGTCATCCTGTGGTCTGTTGGCAGGTCCTGGCCTGGCTTTCATAGCGTATCCAACGGCAGTAACAATGATGCCTGTGTCTCAGCTCTGGTCCTGCCTCTTCTTCCTCATGCTGATCTTCCTGGGACTGGACAGCCAGGTACAGCAAAAGCCCCTCTCCTCTAACATGGAGCCAGTCCTGCTGTACAAAGTGTGTGTTTGATGTTGGGGCTGAGCTGTGCCCCCACAGTCACCTGGCCCACTTTAGCTTCATGGTGGTAAGGGAAGCTCCCCTCTGTCACAGGGGTTCCTTGTGCCATCTCAGGTGCTTCTTTACTTTGCTTGGGGGGTATAGTCCTCCCCTTGCCTCCCCATCACTTGGTCATTCCTGCTGTGCAACAGCATGCTCTGTTCAGTCTGAGGCAATTCCTTGTACAGCTCACAGTTCATCCCCCCCATAAGGCTGTATTTATTACCCCTTTGGTCGCCAGGTCCAGAGGAGAGCTCAGTGATATATTGAGCTGTATTTGGGTCCCTAGCAGCTGCAGCTGGCCCTTGGTGGCAGCAAAAGAGGCAAAAAGAGAAAGCAAAAAGAAATAAGGATTTGGGAGGTTGGACAAAAAAAGAGCAGTGAGAGGGAGTGTGTGCTTGGGGAAGGGGAGACACTGATTTTTCTGTCCTGTCTTCTGCAGTTTGTCTGCGTGGAAAGCATGGTAACAGCGCTTATTGACATGTTCCCGGGAGTGTTACGTAAGAAGGGGCGTCGGGAGCTGCTGATCCTGGCCATTGCAGTCATATGCTACCTGCTGGGCTTATTGCTGGTCACTGAGGTAAGAAAGGAGTAGCTGGGTTATCCAGCCGCGCACCAGGAAGCCTGCTAGAGTGCACTGGAGGAGCGGGTAGAGACAGCAAGCTTGTCTTTGATGTTGTTAATTGTCTTTCATTTCTAATGCATTAGCTGGTGTCTCTCACAGCTGGTGCTGCTTTTACACTGTGTAATGCTAGTGTACTTGCTGTATAACTGAGCCTTCCAGAGAGATGGTCCTGCAGCCCAGGGAGGGTGTCTGACATACAGCTTTGTGCAAATACCAGGCCAGGTGGCTAAAACAAGCTGGGCAACACAAGCAGAAGATCTTCTAAAGGCAGCGATCATTTGCTGGCTGCTTTCCACCAGAAGCAGAGCAGCAGGAGGGGAGGCTGGGGATAATGGCTGCACTGTAACCCTGCCTGAGCCAGTGTGAAGCCTGAGATCCATGGGACCTGGAGGAGCAGAGCTGTGTTGGTGTGGTACTATATGCACAGTGTTTGCCCCTCTTTGCATCTACTAGCCAAGCACCTCTTCCTGCACAGTGTTGTGCTGTGCTGCGCTGCACATGCACCCCTTGGGCAGGGGTGAGTTGCCTCTGAGTTGCCTCCATGTGCTGTGTAGTGACAGCTAATGCCTGCTAAACCTCTTAGGCACTAGTGGCTGAATGATCCTCCAACAAGATCCTGGCTCAGGGCTTGCTGCCCGCGGCTCCCACTGCTATCAACAGACCCTGGAGAGAAACTGAATTAAGGGTTCCCATGGCTATTGCATGCCCCCTTGGAGTAGGGCAGTTCCCATCATTGCAGGATGTTACCTTATATGTGGTGGGATGAAGGGGTAACTGCACTGCTACTCTGGCAGTGTTTAGAGCCTTTCAACACTACTTGAAAGCATCTGCTTGACTTGTATTGGAGGGGCTCTCTCTTTTGAGAAAACACAAGAAAGTAGGAGAGAAGAGTCATCCACTGACCTGTAGATGCAGCTGATGGAAGCTATGAGAGCTCAGTTTGAAGGCAGAGGCATCAGGGAAACCACATGCATCTATCATTGCAGGGCTTGAACCATGAGCAATATGTAAAGATGGATGCAGCTAGAATGAGGTATCTGAATGTCTTGACCCTATTGGGTGCCAAGTTCTGCACTGCTATGTGATATTTTGAAATGATGCTCAAAACTTTCTAACTGGTTTCAAACAAGCAAACAAACTGGTTCCTGCTCCTACGGACACAGAAAGCAGCCTGGCCAGCAGAATCATAAAACATGCATGAAATGCTCTCTTGCCACCAGGTCTGACTGTCTATTTGGGACAGAGGTGGGGACAGACCCAAGAGAATATCTTTTTCTCCCATTTGCTCTAGGAGCACTGTTTCTGCTGTTATTCTGCTTGCCTCAGTCATTCTTCCTTGACATGGAATAGTTCTGCCATGACTATCTCTCCTCTACCTCTTCAACAGGGTGGGATGTACATCTTCCAGCTCTTTGACTACTATGCTGCCAGTGGCATATGCCTGCTCTTCCTGTCCATTTTTGAGGTCATCTGTGTAGGATGGGTGTATGGTGAGTGGAGGACAAAAGCCTGTGTTGTTCTTTCTCAAAACAAATATGGGGGGTTGAGAAGTAGGAATGTATAGAGAAAGTCCTTAGAGGGCAAAGAAATGCTGTAATTACCCTCTTTCTTGTCTGAGTTCTACTGTGTTTACTTGCAATATTTCTGAATTGCTCCACATTTGCAGTAGGAATGGGTTTTCCCTCTCTGAAGGTTCCTCATGTTGAGCTACCTTGCTGCTCTGCCCATCTGCCCTTTAAATTAGAAAATGAGCTGTAGGGAAGTGACTGCTGTTCTTTGGCCTCTGTTACTGTCTGCTTATGTTGTGCCTTTAGTTTAATCCTGTCAGTTGATTTAACACTAATTGCTGGGATGCAGACTTGCTGTGTGTTACTTCTGCAATGATACACGCTTCCTGTTTGCATGGGCTGTGATGGCACTCCAAAAGGGAGCAGGAGGGACTGCTTTGGCTGTCAGTGAAGTCTGCAACTGAAGTACTGAGGAGCAGGATTAATCTGAGCTCCATGAGCCATCAGAAGGAAACCAACTACTTGCTAGTCTGTGCAGTAAGAAGAGTATCCTGTGATACAGAATCATAGAATCAAGTAGGTTGAAAAAGACCTTTAAGATCATCAAGTCCAACCTTTACTATCCTACAGGAGAACTCTTCCTGAGCACACAGGCTGCAGTTCACCTCCCTGAAGCTCACATTGAGGATGCTGATTTTGGGGGAAAGTGTCTAGTGTGTGATGCAGAGCAGCTGCTCTCTCTCATTTGTTTCATGGAGCTAAGGGAGCTCACTGCCTGTAAGGATCATACAAAGCTGTAGTAAATGTCACCTTAGACCAGACCCTCAGCATCCCACAGCTGTGCATCTGCTGGCTCCTAGCTACACCAAGCAGCGTGGGTATCCTAACCCAAGATAAGAACTGTAGGCATGAGCATCAGGTTGTGTCTCTCTTTCAATGGCTAGCAGTGGACGCTCAATAAGGAGTAAAATAGTGGAAAAGTTAACAATGATAGTTTCTGTGAATATTCTTCCAGCTTCTATCAACTTATTAGAACCATAGAATGGTTTGGGTTGGAAGAGACTTTCAAAGGTCATCCATCCCCTCCTGCCATGGGGGAATGGGGTCTTTCGCTAGACCAGGTTGCTTCAATCCCTATCTAACCTGGCCTTGAACACAGCTAGGGATGGGGTATCCACAACTGCTCTGGGCAACCTGTGCCAGTGCCTCACCACTCTCATAGTGAAGAAATTCTTCCTTCTACCCAATCTAAATCCACCCTCTTTCAGTTTAAAACTGTTGTGCCTCGTTCTGTCACTACAAGCCCTAGTAAAAAGTCTCACTCTGTCCTTCTTACTATCCCACTTTATATGTTGAAAGGCTATGATACTGTCCCACTTGAACCTTCTCTGCGGTTCTCTCAGCCTTTCTTCATGAGAGGTGATGCAGCCCCTTATCATTTTCATGGCCCTTCTCTGGACCCACTCTAGTAGGTCCATGTCTGGGGGTTCCCAGAGCCAGATGCAATACTCTGCTTGCTGCACAGGGGTTCCCAAAGCCAGAAGTAAGATCTGTTTATTTCCTTTCTGCTATTTTTCCCAGTTGGCTCAGGTAAGCTTTTATCATCCACAAAATGCTGCAGTGGGGAGGTCCATGGTCCCGTGTTGTTTGAGGATTCACTCTCTTTGCCTTGTTTTGAATCTGTCACTGCTAATTTCATTTGATGCCACCTTTGTCCTGGTTTAAAGAGATAGCGAACAGTCAGCCCCTTTGTGCTCTCTTTGGTGCTTACAGTTCTATAGACATTGCATTTGCTGTAGTGCAGTTGCTAATGAAGGGGTTACCAGTTTCTCCAAATGCTTTACCTACAGCAGGAGCCAATTGCTAGTCTGGATGGACTCCTCTCTTACTGAAATGGTAGCAGGTCCAGCTGATCACCTCTGTGGAATGCAAGAAAAGCAGATCTGTAAGAGAGATTTATTCTAGAGAGATGTCCTGCAAAGGAAGCTCACCTGAGAGCTTGCAATATCCATGGCCCGATTTTAATGAGCTGCCTTCTACCCAGCCCCTGTGGAATTTACAGAAGGATGGAGATTCGCATCCATCTGTGACAAAGCTTCATCATCACCATGCCAGTTACATTAGACTGCATCCCTGGCGGCGTTAAAGTCCAGGTTGGATGAGGCCTTGAGTGACATGGTTTAGTGTGAGGTGTCCCTGCCCATGGCAGGGGGGTTGGCACTTGATGATCTTAAGGTCCTTTCCAACACTACCTATTCTATGATTATGCTTTATTATATAACCTTCCCTTGCCATTTTTATGGTCACACAGGCCACATGCCTTTTCCAACAACACATGGAGAGGAGCAATGGCAGACAATGAGCAGCAGGAGCGGTGATGCTGCTCCAGCAGCCTGTAAGGGAGACAGAGCTGCTGGGGACTGAGAAATGTCCCTTTCTCTCACCATCATGGGTTCATTTATTCCCTTTTGGTTTTGTACCCTTTTGATGCTCTGCTTCGCTTCCTTGGGGCTGATTCTGGTCCTAAATGTACTCAGAGGGCCAAGGTGAGGCATCTTAATGGAAAACACAGTGCCTGGTGCCAACTGATGTTTTTTTCCCCAGCCTGAGAGTTGGCAGGGCTGAGTCTCTTGCTTACACTGTGAAGAATTACAGCATTTTTGCTAACACAAATATCTGTTCTGAGTTTCCCCTCTCCCAGCACATACGCCAACCACCCACCACTTGGCAGCTTTCCACTGCTGCCAGGCAGCTGCTCTTGCAAAGATCTGAGGGTTTCCTCGCATATTGCTCTGCCTGTGAAAGGATCGTGCAGCATTGGACCTGCTGATCGTGTTCTCTATAGGGGAGTGCCAGAGGGATTTGGGATTTCCCCCCCTCCTTCTCCTCTCTTGCTTTCACTTTGGGATAGGCAGCCCATCAGAGAAACAGGCATGGATTTTGAGCACTGGGATTCACAACATAATGCCACCAAAATGTGCTGCAGGGAGGATATTTTCCAGGCAGTCACAGCGTGCACATTAGGATTAGCTGTTCCAGGAGAAAGCAAGTGCCTCCCTCGCTGCAGGAGAGCAGCGGCTGAAACCGTTAGGGCTGTTTACAAAGCTAAAGCAAACTGATGCCAGTGGGTACCTGTGGGTGCCCCCAGGGTGAGCCCACATTGTGCTGGTATAAATCTTTCTCTCCCTCTTTCTCTCACATGCAGTGTGGCTGTCAAAAGCAGCAGCCTCCTCCTGCCTGGATCCTGCCCATTGGGCTTGCTCTTGCTGTGTGTGCTTTATCCTCTGAGATGCACCAGCTACGGGCAATATATGCCGATTTATGGACCGTACCTTGTACACAAACGGTTCACTGTTGCAGTGCCACAGTGCCTCTGCTGCTGGCATTCTGCACAGGTTTGGGGCAGGTGTTGATGCTGCAGGTTTGAGACAGAGAGAGAGCATACATAAGCTTAGCACTATGGCATAGAGCCGGGGTTATTACCTATTGAAATCCTGTGGGTGAAATTTGATCTAGATGAATGCAAAACAATGCAGCTGGGAGAAAAGATTTAAAAGGGAGGGTTTATTTCCCTAGATTCCAAACTAGGAGACTTGTGAAACTCCCTGCTTCTGAATATTGTAAAAATAGAATAAAATCTCTGTCCCGTTCGTTTTGGGTGTCACTTGCAGTTGTTACAAGCTATGTAAAATAAGAAGGGCTCCATAAGGACAAGGCATAAGGATGTATGCAAATATCTAGTTGCTTTCATGTGAAACTTATTCACATGAATGTATGTAGCAAAATTAAATGAGTTGTCAGAAAAGCATGCATCAGCTTTGAGAGCATATGGGATTGGTCAGCGCAAGAGAATTGGTACCAGCATGCATGGATAAGTGCCCTGTGCCTGCATGACAATCTTCCTTGTCTTGGGATACTGGGGATAAAAGCAAACATCTTTGTTCACTCAACAAAAATCTCATTTGGGGAAATCTTTATGGTTTTCTCTGAAGGAGCTTTATCTAACTCTTCTAATATGCTGGGAAGAGAGGGGGACTGCACACATCCTCCAGCTCTTAATTTGCTCAAAAGCCAATGATGAGTGATTGAACTGATGACTTCTAAAGCTTGGTTACTTTTTCATCTGCCTGTGAAATGTAGGACATGTAAAACCTGCTGTTCATATATATCATTCATGTCGGTCCCCCCTGCATTTCATCACATCACCTACTGACTGCCACAGCAGCCATGGAAATGCAGGACCTGATAGTTGTACTAGAGAGAATAAGGATAAGGATAGGTGGAGACAAACCATAACTAACAACATAGGTTTTGGGTTGCTTTCTTGATGGAGGATGGATGTCTGTTATGTCATTCTTTTTGTTTGCCATCTTTGTATTTCTTTAATTGCTATGTCTCTTCTACTAGATCCTAGATCCAAATTTGCAGTAATATTTTGGCTTCTGTAAAGTTGCATTATGACTTAATTTATCAGTCATATATTTGCCATCACAGTGTGTTTCTGTGGAAACACTGTATGGTACAAGGGACTATGCTATGCTCATATTCTAAACCGCTAGTCACATCATTTATGTATCTCTCTTTTTTTTTTTTTTCACCCTGTAGAAGTTTCTGGCTTTTTGGCAAAGTATTTTTTTTTTATATCATCTTCTTTTCATCCCCAGTATATTTTCAGAAATGCTATCTGAAGCCTCATGATATTTACAGCTTGGAAGCTTTAGGGTTCTGTTCCCTGGTGTAGGCTGGGCTCCCACACAAGGCTGCGTGTCCCTTGATATGCCACAGCTTGTTGTCTTTGCTGTCTTTGCTTGAGGCTACTTGTTAACTTGCCAACTCAAGATGGGAACCATGAAGTGTTCAAAGAACCTGGCAGCCTGCTCTCCTTTCCCCCACCCCAGCCTAAATACTGCAGAAAGCTGGATTTAAAAGAGCTTTCCTGCAAACATTAGTCATGGGATATAGAAAAATGCAAAGAATTACAAAAAAGAAAAGCACACTTAATTTGCTTTTGTAGCATTCATGTATTTAAAGGAAACATGGGAGTTTAATTCTAAGGCATAAAGAACACAAACCGAAATAAAACTCACCGAACTCCAAACACCCTCAAGTGTGGCCAGCCCTCTAAGCACATATTTCTCTCAGCCAAGCTTTTCTGGTGTTGAGATGCAAAGAAGCAAGGTCTCATCACATTTGCATGTGGGAACCGTGGCATCACCATGAGTTCATAGCTGAATGAACCCCCCTAAAGGCAGAGCCCTTCTTTATCAGCTAAGCACAGTATTATTTCATCCCAAGGTGCTTAACTAGTAATCCTTTATCTGGGCAGGCCAGCTCCATTTCTTTTTTTGTCCAATATTGTTACCCTGTTTTACCTGAGGCAGTCTGATATAGTACCTCTGGTTAGCTCTAGTGAAGATAATGTTAGGGCGTCTTGTCAATGACTTTTCAATTCTTCTTCATTTTATACTTCTTTCTGGCCATGATTAGGTGCTTGATCCTTGAAGACATCCTAAAGCTTACTACAAGGTCTCCTGAAGTTCATCTGCATTATGTCGTCTCCTCAATATACCATTGCATATATTCCCTCTTTGAGCTTTGGGTTTAGAGGAGTCAATGGTTAGGGTCTGGCCAGTGGCAGGGCTTTTAGATGCTCTTCAAAGGTATACCCCTCTCTATTACACTATGGGATTCAGGTGGGTCCCACATACTGTGAAGAACATAATCTGGTAAGTGAAACTAATAAGAGGAGAAGGAGTAGGTCAGGCACCCACAGGACAGCTCCCATTGGAAAGGACAGCAGCACCTGCAGCTGTAAAGTTTGGTTTCCAGAAGAGATTGTCAGGTCTTCTAGGTCTATGTGAACAACAAGTATTCTGTGGAATTCAGCCTCTTGACAGGGGAAATGCCCAGCTCAGTGGCAGTTCTTGACATGACTTCCCTGGTGTGCTGATCTGGTTACAAAAAAAAAGGTTTTGTTTGGTGCCCCCCACTCTCTTTGTTTCTTTTGGCACTCTGGACTCACACAATCCCATGTGCTCAACCTGCAAGGGGTTTCCCTTGCTTATCTATAAACCAGGCACCTCTCCTTGCCTTGTACTGGTTCTTACCGTTAGTGGCTGCATCCTCTCACAGCTGCTGTTGTGTGGGGAAAAAGGCATTTCTTCTATGTCAAGCCTTCTGATAAGTTATGGCTGAAGTTAAAAGGCTCCATATGTATTTAACTACAGATGGGCCTTTTCAAAGCCAGGAAGGACCATCACCAGCTGCTATGTTATTGAGATAGCTGTGGTTTTGCCAGGAGTAAACACTGAGGATAAAGAAAGTTGGGATCTGATGTGAATAGTGGTTCAAGGAAACAACAATGATCTGACCTCTGACTTTGTCTCTGTGCTGGCTGGTGGACAAGGTGCCAACCGCTTCTACGACAACATTGAGGACATGATTGGTTTCCGGCCGTGGCCCTTGATCAAGATATGCTGGCTGGTGTTCACCCCGGGCATGTGCTTGGTAAGTGCAATTACCACAGCGTGGCATGTTGTTATTCTGGGTCGCTGGGTTCTCAGTAGGAAAGGTTGATTTCTCTTCAAGGTGCTGCTGTAATTCTTTCAAGCTGTTATGGAGCACCAGAAGCTTGTCCATAGCTGAGGTTGGTGTTTATTTCCCTTTGTAAAGCCTTATCTTTTGCTTGGAAAATTAATTAGGCTTGACAAGCTACTTGTTTACTGTGAAGGCAAAGGGAAATGTGTCCTCAAAGTCTGGAGAGGTTTGGTTAAATTACTTTTGAAAAGAAGACTGGTGAGAATTACCCTGTTCTGGAACACTTGCTTCAGCCTGTGTTCCTGGGACCTCCTGTGGTTCAGAAACAGTTTTCCACAGGCACTTGCTTTCTACATTATTAAATATCTCCTAAAACTTCTGTAACAACTGTGTTTAAAGAAAACGCACCCCGAGTCAGGCACGTTCTTGCCTCTTCTGAGTTTATGTCCAGTCTTGCTCCACTGACTTTTATGTGATTCCTAAGCCACATTTTGCTCCTGCATCTGATGTTGAGAGTTGGGATTTTTTAACCTCAGTGGGAACCCAGATGGAATCTACAGCTACAGCTTACAAAAGATTTCTAGTACTTTGTCCTCAGGCTCCAGCAGGAGTTGAAAATCAGGGAAATTTTCAAAGCAGCCCAAATCATCTGAGCGCCCTGGTGTTAGAGACCTCCAAGAGATGTAAATCTCTGCCTGCATGGTACTTCTGGAGGGCTTCTGCCAGCAAGAACTACAGTTCCTGACTTTGAGATGAATAAATTGGTGTCTCAGTGTTGCTGGACCCTCAAAGCTGCTGCCAGCTTTGCTTAAGTTGAAATCTTTGGAAGTCTGAAGGCTTCACACTGCAGGGAAGCCTGGTCATGGATCTGAGATGACTTCTTGTGCAGTCAGCATGCACCAAGCTCTGCTGTGCTGCAGCTATCAAGGTCCATGCTAGTTCATGCAAGAGAGAACCCTCACTGTCACCCAGGCAGTGCTTGCAGAGTGTCCAGGCTGCCTGGCTTGGCTGCTCCCTTTGCTCTGGCTATGTCTGTTTTCTGCTCCTCAGGCTGTCTTCCTGTTTTCCCTGATCAAGTACACACCCTTGAAATACAACAATTCCTACGTATACCCAGCCTGGGGCTACGTGGTCGGCTGGCTGATGGCACTGTCCTCCATGGTCTGCATTCCTGTCTACGCCATCTTCATCCTCCTGAAAACCAAAGGACCCCTGAAGCAGGTACTGGGACTGTGGTCACTGGGAGCCTTGCTGATGCTTTCCCCAGATGGCTCATGGGAAAGGACCCCAGCGAAGAGGCATGTGCCACATTTCTCCTCTGAGAAGACAAGGGAGGGCGAGGGTAGCCCTTCCCCAGAATGCCTTGTAGCTCTTGTTGGCAATCTGGAGGGCCTGAAAAATCTCATCACAGCTCCCATGGTGATCATCCAATGTTCAGTCTTCCATGAGACATTGCACCACCATGCTCAGTGCAATATATAGACACATGCACAGTGTCTTCAGCGCTGGCTCCACTTGATGGCAGAGGGCTCCTTCAGTGTGGGCTACAGAGATCACAGGCTGATTGGTTTGGTTTATGGTTCAGGTAGTCCCATTGGTCCTGTAAGTAAAGACGGCAAGCCACCACCTCTGCCTGCTTTCTTGTTGCTCAGTGGTGCCACCCTTGCAAATCAGGTGCAAAACCATGATCTGTTTTGCCTTTACTTCTTGTCCCTTGATCCTGCTCCCATTTTAGTCCTCAGTCAGGACCATGTTATTTTCTCTGAAGAAAGTACCCAAGGTTGTTAAACAGGACTTGCTAACAGAGCTGATAAGGTCTACCTTGTGCCATGCCCAAGCCTGCCCACTTTCAATATGGGAGGGCCACGAGAATGATCAGGGGGCTGGAGCACCTCCCATATGAAGATCTGCTGAGAAAGTTGGGACTGTTCAGCCTGGAGAAGAGAAGGCTGCGTGGAGACCTCATAGCAGCCTTCCAGTATCTGAAGGGGGCCTATAGGGATGCTGGGGAGGGACTCTTCATTAGGGACTGTAGTGGTAGGACAAGGGGCAATGGGTTAAAACTTAAACAGGGGAAGTTTAGACTGGATATAAGGAAGAAGTTCTTTGCTGTGAGGGTGGTGAGGCACTGGAATAGGTTGCCCAAGGAAGTTGTGAATGCTCCATCCCTGGCAGTGTTCAAGGCCAAGTTGGATGAGGCCTTGGGTGATACGGTTTAGAGCAAGGTGTCCCTTCCCATGGCAGGGGGGTTGGAACTTGATGATCTTAAGGTCCTTTCCAACCCTAAACATTCTATGCTTCTATGACACTTTTTCCTTCTCCTTCTCCTATGTAGAACTCTGTCTAGGAGGGTGGTGTCATCTCCCATCATCCAGACACTACACCTGACCCATGGCTGGGTGATGTACAGTGCATATAAATTCCTGCACAATTTCTCTTCTGGTCCTTCCCCATCCTCACTGGTTGCAGGGCGGAGCAGGTGAACATGGGATGGGAGTATCCCTGTGGCTCTGGTGTAGTCTGGCAGTCACATTGTGGGGTGATGGTAAGGAGGGCCCTGTACTGCCAACACAGCTAAGGATGGGCTGTTTGCAGGATGTCCTCATTGGCTCCATTGCCCCAAGGAAGGTGAATCTATGCCCAGAGGGGCTCTTATCTACAGGCTGGGAGATGTGACTTAACAGGGAGTAACAGGAGCTGTGGCAGAGCTAGCTAAATGCTCATCTCAGGCTCAGGACAAGATACAGTGTAGTGCCGAGATGGAAATGGTAGCATTGAAAGTCTTCAGTGAAACAGTGAGAGGGGCGTAAGCCATGAAGGCAAGAAGGTGGAGGAGAAGTAGGATGCTATGAAATGGTTTCTGCTTAGCAGCCTTTGGCCCTTGGGCCTCCTGGTTGCCATTGGTGGCCGTGAAGAGACTACACAGCTGGGAGGGAGCTTGCAGCTGTATGAGGAACGGCAGGTGAATCTTGTGCCAAGATGCTGTGTTACGGCTTGCTTCAAGTTCAGACCTTGAGTCCTGTCTCTTACAGCCCTCTCCTGTGCTCCAGGCCATTTAGTGGTAATGCATCTGTCCTTTCCCATGGCTGGTTTGAAGAGTTTGAGTGGGTGAATGATGACACGTCTGACCCCCCAGAGCTCAGAGGTTTCATATGTCTAAATGAGGACCTGGAGCTGTCACTGAAGTAATTGCCCAAATGTCCAGCCTGCTACACAAGCAATATTTCTCACCTGTTGCAAAGTGCTTTGAGCCCTTGGACTGAAATGCTGCTGTGAGTAGTGTTAATGCTTATTTTACAGCACATCCGAGGAATTGATTTGGCCAATTTCAGATAGAGTGTTTTTCCATTTGCCCTGGTTAAATGATATTAGCTGTAATTTCCAGGGACTTCTCAGTTATCTTCGTACGAGGAAACTTCCAAGGATGTGGTTTAGGAAGGAATCGGCTGCTAAACCTGGGTTGATTGAGGGGAAAGTCAAAGCCAACCACATGATACCTTCTGGAACAGTTGCACCTGCTTTGAAAACAGGTTTTCTCAAAATGTACCTGTTCCCTTTTTCCAGTCACACCCCAGAAATGTAATGAATTAATTTCCTGACACAGATGCTCCCAGGAACAGCGTCTTTCAACTGAATAGTGCAAACCGTTCACTGAAAGCAAGTTTGTAATTAGTAATTATGATCAGCCACTGCGACAGACTGATTTCTCATTGCACTTGACTGACCAAGAAACACAAAAGTTGTTTCCTAATGTGTCTGATTAAGACGGCTTAAGCTCCAAAGACTGAAAACTCGCAGTGAGCTGCTCACAGAGCAGCTGCAGGCAGGGCCCAAATTCAGAAATCAGGGAGCAAATAGTTTTGAGTAAATGAGTGAGATATGGGATTCTGGCAGACACTTTACAAGGAATGTCAATAATTAATCCAGCAGTTCATGGATGCATTGCCTACTCTGCTTGCAATGTGCTCTGCAAGGGGGGAATGTGCATTGGCCTGAACAGCTTTTGGTAGAAAAAGTTAGTAACTGTGTAAGTCAGTTTTCAGCAAGGAAATGATATGCTGGCCCACGCTGCTTGGTGAGTGACTGCAGGATATCATGCATTATTTGGCTCTGGGAGGAGATGAGGCGCTCAGGAAGGCGTTTGGAAATGGTATGAGAAAGACCAGAAATTCAAAGCAGCTGTCCCTGTGGACCAGCAAATTCTGCCCAGAGCTCCAAGTTCTGTGCCCTTTTTAAGGATTAACTCCCCCTGCAGCACCCCTGCATTGCAGAAGATGGAGGGAGCTAAGGGCAGGCAGCTGCCCCACAGTCTCCGCTTGCACCATTGCAGTGTGTCTGGCTGGAAGAGGGGAGATGGGGTGGTTTGGGGGCTGGAACCAGTCTGTGGAGGGACTGCTTTACCATTGACATACCACTGAGGTAGGTATCACCTGCCATCCTGTTTTAGACCATAGCGGGACATGCCCAGTACCTGCTGATGGTCTGACCATTTGGAAGGCTCCACAGATCCCACCAAAGTCAGTGAGAAGAACGGCAACTTGGCACAGGGTAAAAAAAGGGCTATAGAGCTTTAGCTGTGGTCTCTGGGGCTAATCTCTAGCATCTTTCCTTGCAGAAACACGTCTGTGAGGAGCCACATACATTGCACAGTCAGTTCACAGCTGGGGTTTGAGCCCGTAGGTGGAATAGTTGTCACTGAGCGCAGTTAAAGCAAGCCTGCTCTCCTTCCTCTCCCTTGGACAGCTGCTCAGCGAGAGGAGCAGGGAGCTGGGAGCATTAGCTCTCTAGGTGCCTTTGCCCGCAGCAATGGTTGTGGATCACTATTGGGTGTCAGTTTGTTTATCAGCTTAATTAACAGAGGCTTCCTCTCCACAGAGGTTAACTCAGCTGATTTCCCCAGCGGAGGACCTGCTGCAGCCAAAGAAGCATGTGGCTCGGCTGTCTGAACTGAGGTGCCAGGGATGGTCCCCTCCAGTCCAGAAGGTGCTCAGCACTACAGAGAGAGAAACCAACTTCTAAAGCACTGGGGATGTCTCCTCCATACCTTGAACTGATTCGCTCTCTCATTCCTGAGGTGGTTTCTTTTCTCTCCTTCATGTCCAAGACAGAAGCATCTGGGACATCCTCTCCTTCCAGCCAGCCAGTTGCACCCACGGGGGACAGCGTTTGTTTTGACACCCTATGAGCAACTCTTCCTGTCAGCAGATGAGGAGACAGCAACACGCTTTTGTTGGAAATGTCCTCCAGTACTGGCACTGGTGGGGAAGAGAGAAACAACGTGTTCACAAAGAAAGAGAAGTTAAAAAAAATAGGCAGTCGTGTTGGCAGGAGGAAAGGAAACCACATTGGTGAGAGAGAGAAGATAAAAAAGGTGTGCAGGAGTAAAGTTAGGGATGCAAAGGCACAAAACGATGGGGTGTTAGTGCCAGGAATAAGTAAGTTGTTTCAGAAGTACATAAGAACCTGGACGATGACAAAGGAAAGTGCATTGCTAGGTCACCTACATACAAGGGAGAAGGAGCCAGGAACATATCATAAGCAATGATAAAAGGAAGCTGCAGTGTTAGTAGTTGTGGCTTCAGTTGTCATTGAAAGGGAAGAGAAGTGACAGGGTGCTTGATGCAACCCTAGTTACTGATGATGGATCTCAAGGCAGTCTCAGGCTGGAAAAGGGGTAAGGAATAACTACCTAAGGGACTTGCTCTTGGTCAAGACTACATGGCCCAGTGAAACCACATCAGAGAGTGAAACAGCTGGATACTTGACGGCGCTTTCAGAAAATTCCTGGAGTGCAGGAAAAGTCCCAGAGCAGCTGGTAAAAAAAATGAACTGCAGCACAGCAGGGACAAATGAGACCCTGGGGACTGCACGCCCACAAATTTAACTGCACTACAGGGGCATTTTGTAGAGGAATTAATGAAGGAAGCCTGATTCTGTGCTGCAGAGTAGCTTTGGGAAGAGGGTGGGAGAAGTATTGTGCTCCCTTGGCTTTGCTGCAGATGGCTGCTCAGGGGATAAGAAAGACATAATCAGGTGCAATAATCATAAGCTCCAGCAAGATAAAGCAATCATTAATAGGTAAGATGAGTTCATTGAAAGCAGATTTGTCAAACTAAAGGTCTGTCATTGCCACTGTAGTCATGAATGTGAGGCAATGGCTGGGAGGGATTGCACACGGTTGTGGCGTTTGGTGCAGTGCCAGCCTGCTCTGTCCTGTGGAGGCTGGGACTGCAGAACTCCTTGCCAAAACCTGCTTGATGGTCTATCTGAATTTCACAGTTAAAACCACAGGAAAAGCTGGTGGCAGGATCCCCCAGGAGCTTCACCATGGTCTAGGTGCGCGGCTGTGTTGAATAGTGGCGCATCAAACCCATGTAGGAGAATGGCTGTTAAAAAGAATCAGAGATGCCACAGGCTCCGTTCCCTTGTTCCTCATTCTAAGTAATTGCTTTTTCCTGTGCTGTGTGGAGATAAACCACCAGCACTGAAAGTAAGCGGGAAAATCAGGCCTCATCTGTGCAGCGTGGTTCCTATTCCGATTGCTATGGGAACCTTATCTTTTGCAGTTTCCTGTGAGTTTAACTGGAGAATTAGCATAGGGCAATCATTTCCCCATTTAATTTCCTTTCCTTTAAAAACCGAAAAACTGTTGGTGAAATGAGCACTGGAAGTCAAATATCAACATTTACATCTCTCTGGGACATTGTCGTTTAATTGGAGATATTTACTGCAAAAGGTAGAGGTAGCTGGCAAACCTCATTCCTGTTCCCTGAAAAGGACTGCAGCACCACATAAGATACCATTTATTTTATGCTTGTTTTTCAAAGAGCTGAATGTCATGCTGCAGCAATAGTCGTGGGAAGAGCTTAACATCCAGAGGCTTCATGGTAAGTATATTGGTGTTATTTTCCTCTGCAGTGGGTCTCTACATGCAGTCAGAGCAAAAGCCAGTGGCTGCCACCAATAGGACATTTAACCCCTTTGTTCCTGCTGCCATGCTGCTAAGGTGTAAGGTAGTCCATGCTGCCAGAGAAGTCATGGAGATGTGTTCACTCCTTTTTCCGAGGTAGTCAGATAACAATGCAAAAATCCTAGACAGAAATAAACCAGTTTTTCAGTTTCGAGCACAAACATGGGGTTATGTTATTGAAAATAAATACTTCATGAACTGGTTCCTCTGTTGCTTTTGTGTTACCTGAGAGTAGTGTCCCACTTCTGCCAGGAAGCTTCCTATTTTAATAAAGTCAGAGGAGGTATTACTGTCCACATTGAAAGCAACTACAGAATTCCCAGGATCAGGAAATTAGTCCAGATGCTTTGGATAGGATTGATAGAGTCTCAAGAAGTTCAAGGGAAAGCTCAGTGACCCAGGTACACCCAGCTGAGGGAACAAGGGAAAATGCCATCAAAAACTCTTCTGCTATAAGACCCTGCAGCATGCAGGCATAGTTAGAGACCAAGTAATAGTTTACTAAATTGATATAAAGATCTCAGGCATTGCTGCGTACATACAATAGATTTGACAGGTCTCCATCAGCCCCTTGAAGTTGGCACTTCTGGAGACCTCCAAGTCTGATGGGCAAGAGCTCTCCACCTGCACACCACGAGTGTGTAAATGCTCTGTTGAAGGGATGGTATGGAGAAGAGGGAGATATTATTTTCCCTCTGTAATTGCTGATAACTGGTTGGTCTTCAAGGATCACCTGCTACAAGCTCAGGAGTGTTGCATTCCAACCAGAAGGAAGTGCAGCAGGAGGGCCAGGAGACCTCCTTGGATAGATAAGGAGCTGCTGAGGAAAATTCAAATGAAAAAAGAGTTTTATAGAAAGTGGAAGCAAGGAGAGGTGGCCTGGGAAGAGTACAGGGATGTTGTCTGGGAAGCTAGGGACCAGGTTAGGGAAGCTAAGGCCCAGTTAGAATGAAACTTGGCTAGGGATATTAAGGATAACAGGAAGGGATTCTACAGATACATAGCAAATAAAAAACAGACTAGGGAGAACGTAGGCCCCCTCAGGAAGCTCTCAGGTGAACTAGCTACACAGGATTTGGAGAAGGCTGAGGTTCTGAATGACTTCTTTGCCTCAGTCTTCTCTAGCAAAGGCTCTGACCGCACCACCCAAGTCTTGGAAGGCAGACACAGGGACTGTGAGAATGAAGACCTTGGGCCCACTGTAGGAGAGGAATTGGTTCGAGACCATCTTAAAAATCTGAACGTGCACAAGTCCATGGGTCCTGATGAAATCCATCCGTGGGTCCTGAAGGAGCTGGCAAATGAAGTTGCTAAGCCGCTGGCCATCATATTTGAAAAATCATGGCAGTCAGGTGAAGTTCCCGATGACTGGAAAAAGGGAAATATAACCCCCATTTTCAAGAAGGGGAAAATGGATGACCCAGGGAATTACAGACCAGTCAGTCTCACCTCTGTGCCTGGCAAAATCTTGGAGCAGATTCTCCTGGAAGGCATGCTAAGGCACATGAAAATCAACAAGGTGCTTGGTGACAGCCAGCATGGCTTCACTAAGGGGAAATCCTTCCTGACCAATTTGGTGGCCTTCTACGATGGGGCTACAGAACTGATGGACAGGGGTAGAGCAGTTGATGTCATTTACCTGGGTTTGTGTTAAGCGTTCGATACTGTCCCACACGACATTCTTGTCTCTAAATTGGAGAGACATCAATTTGATGGATGGACCACTCGATGGATAAAGAACTGGCTGGATGGCCGCACACAAAGAGTTGTGGTCAATGGCTCAATGTCCAGCTGGAGACCAGTAACGAGTGGTGTCCCTCAGGGGTCGGTGTTGGGACCGGTCTTGTTTAACATCTTTGTCGCTGACATGGACAGTGGGATTGAGTGCACCTTCAGCAAGTTTGCCGATGACACCAAGCTGTGTGGTTTGGTTGATATGCTGGAGGGAAGGAATGCCATCCAGAGGGACCTTGACATGCTTGTGAGGTGGGCTGATGCCAACCTCATGAAGTTTAACCATGCCAAGTGCAAGGTCCTACACCTGGGTCGGAGCAATCCCAGGCACAGCTACAGGGCAGAGAAGAGATTCAGAGCAGCCCTGCGGAGAAGGACTTGGGGGTGCTGGTCGATGAGAAAATGAACATGAGCCGGCTTCAGTGTGCACTTGCAGCCCAGAAAGCCAACTGTATCCTGGGCTGCATCAAAAGGAGCGTGACCAGCAGGTCGAAGGAGCTGATCCTGCCCCTTTGCTCTGCTCTTGTGAGACCTCACCTGGAGTATTGTGTGCAGTTCTGGTGTCCTCAACAGAAAAAGGACATGGATCTGTTGGAACAAGTCCAGAGGAGGGCCACGAGAATGATCAGGGGACTGGAACACCTCGCATGTGAAGATCGGCTCAGAAAGATGGAGCTGTTCAGCCTGGAGAAGAGAAGGCTGCGTGGAGACCTCATAGCAGCCTTCCAGTATCTCAAGGGGGCCTATAGGGATGCTGGGGAGGGACTCTTCATTAGGGACTGTAGTGGTAAGACAAGGGGCAATGGGTTAAAACTTAAACAGGGGAAGTTTAGACTGGATATAAGGAAGAAGTTCTTTGCTGTGAGGGTGGTGAGGCACTGGAATAGGTTGCCCAAGGAAGTTGTGAATGCTCCATCCCTGGCAGTGTTCAAGGCCAAGTTGGACGAGGCCTTGGGTGATATGGTTTAGAGCAAGGTGTCCCTTCCCATGGCAGGGGGGTTGGAACTTGATGATCTTAAGGTCCTTTCCAACACTAACCATTCTATGATTCTATAATGCAATGATGCAGTTGTAGTCCAAGGGAAGTTATGATGTGGCCATACTGTGCTGCTCCTCCTCGTCAGAGTTAAAACACTGGATATGTATGAATGAACAGACATCTGTCAAGCACCTAATTACCACTTCTGAGATTTCAGGTTTGTTTGTGTGGTTGGTTGGTTGGTTTTTTTCATTAAAAAAGCCATTTCCACCCCGCTATCCAGAAAGGAAGGACAGTAAAGTAGTTTGTTAAAAAACAGGTCAGGCCCAAATTTTCCTTCTTTTCTTCATTCTCTGTTTCTTTCCTTCCCTTCCCATTTTTCCTGTTCAGTCTTCCTTTTCTTCTTCCTTTAACAGTGCCCTTCTGGCAAGTTTCTTCTTCCCAAATGTGTTGTTCTTCAGCCTCTTCTCTTAGATCCTTGTCTGAATGAAAGTGATTCCTTGTCTGGCTGCACTGCTGCTCCCTGCACTTGGGCAGACAGAGAGGCAATTCTTGCTTTTCAGCATCTGTCCAGCATGAAATAATATGTATTTATTCTCATCATCAGGATATCTTCAATTTTCATGACTCCAGCCCTAAATACGTTTTTTTGGGGTGAAGAGAATTGCAGCAGCATATCCCCTTGGTTTGAGCTAAGTTGGGTTTGAACAGGGTAAAAGGAGATTAATGTTCATGAAAGGAGAAAATAAAATAAAATAAGCTTTCAAAAGGTAAGGATTAAAGTTAAAGACCATAGAGGCTGAGGAAATGTGTGTATGCTGCTATCCAGGTCACTCCACAGGGCTGCAAGGAAGGGCTGGGGCGTTAGAAACAGCCTTTACTCCTGAATCTCTTGCTGGTGCCCAGGGAAGAGAAGAAATGTGTCTAACAGTGATGGTGGGGGAGGAAGGGGAGAGCTTGTTTTGCTTTGTTTTGTTTTTAAACCCAGAATAAGCCCTGCCTCCCCAACTGCTCTTGGAGCATGAACCTGGCTCTGTTCTGAATCCCTGACCCATGACTGCAAAGGAGGACATGTATTTTTGGAGCTGTCTGTTCTGGTTTGTCAAGCCTGTGCTTGGAAAGCTATGTGGAAAGGAAAGGGATTCCCAGGGAGAAATGCTTTCAATGGCTGTGCAAAGCTAGTTGTGGGCAACTCTGTCCTGTCTTGCTCCTGGTGACATGCCAAGGCCATGCTGTGAAACGGTCTCTTGATTTTTGTCTCCTTTTTTCAATAGGCTGTGAAACAGTTTCCTGCCCAGCCTGGGTTACAGCCAGGACAGGGAGTTTTGTCCTGCTAGCTGTCTAGGATGGCAGCTCTGGACCGGAGGTGTGCTCATGTGTTATTTGCCACTTGCCACTAGATTTTCCAAAATATGCTTTATTGAGTGAGGCGTTTGCTGTGCCATGGTGTAGATAGGAGTCTCCGAAGGACAAGTGATTACAAGCAGTCTGGTGCCCTTTTCAACTTCTTATTTCAAGAAGAGATGAAGTGAGCTGCTTTCTTCTCATGGACCAATAAAACTACCCCCAAACAAAAAAAGTAGTCTGTTACTTTCCCATATCCTGGAGAAGCACCATTGCTGTGTGTTTCAACATGAACCTTCCTCACCATGCATTAGC